TGGTCCTGGATTCAGCCATTGGGTGGGTGGTTTGAGCGTCAGTTCTCATCTGTACCTTGTGAACAGACACGATGTGATCTCTTACCAGGAGCCATGCACTATGCGATGATTTTACACATCTTAACTCATTATTTCTCACAGCAACCCCTGAGGTATTGCAATTATCTGTATTGGAGTTATCTTGAGAAACAAAACTAATGAGATGTATAAATGAGAGAGAGGGAGAGAGAAAGAGATTGATTATGATTTGATTTTAAGATTTTTAAGATTTTAAACTATTGGATTGTGAGATTATGGAGCTGATGGGTCTAAAATCTGTAGGGTGCAGACTAGCAGAGATTATGAGTGTAGAAACTGAGGCACAGAGTGGTGAAGTGATTTGTCCAAGAGTGGATAACAGTAAAAAAAAAAAAGCCACAACTTGAACCTAGCCACAGGATATGGCTATTTTAAAGCATGGCTACTATTATCATGCCTGCTACCTTCGCTGAGCTCTTGGGAAGGGTCAGAAGAGATAGATCATGTGCACAGTAACTGGCGAAGAATAGGCGCTCGGCACCTGTTGCTTCCCTTCTCCCTGCTCTCTTCTGTGTTAAAACTGAGGCACTTGGTTACGGAGAGTCCTGGTTACTGTGACTGTTAAGCTGGGCTCCTGCAGCTCCACTGAGGAAGGCATGTCCAGCAAAGGGAGCACCTGCTGCCCCTGTGTTTTTGATGGGGACGGGCTGGCGACAGCAGGGGGCCCAGGCTGGTCACCTGCATTCCTCTGTGTTGTCTGCAGACCAGATAGGGGTCTTGACCCAAACAAGCTCAGCGAGCGATCACAAGGACCAGGGCTAACCTGAAAGCCCAGGCTCGTGCAGCCAGCAAGGAGCCAGGTGCAGGTGCTTCAGGAACTTTATGAGTGTGCCCTTTGCCCCTGCACCATGGCCTTGGCAAAGGGCCAAGGACCAAGGCTGTCTCTACTGCTGGATAACAAGCACCATCCCAGGACTTGGAACCAATCAGACGATGATCCCTGAAGCCACCTCACTGATCCTCCGCCCTCATTATCATTCATCTGACCTCAGACCCGAGATGAAGTGATTGAGCCACCAGGCCGTGGTATGAGCAGTGTTCTTGCTAAAGCCTGCATGCGGCTTGAGCTGGCCTCTGATGGCTTGTGAGAGGAAGCAGCCAAGTGTAGTGAACTGAACTCGGGGCCAGCAAATATGGGCTCAAATCCCAACTCCATTTATTAACCTTAGGACACTGGTCAGTTACTTTACCTCTCTCGGCCTCAATTCCTTCATCTGTAAAATGGGGATAGTAATAACTGACTCTGAGCTTGTTAAGTGAAAAGTGCTCACATATGTCAAAGCCTTGGCACAGAACTTGGAGTCACTCCTTGTCTGATTAAGACATTGATCCACTTTCTCTGACCGTCTGCTTTGCCTGTTGAGTTTAGAAGTATCAAGGAGGGTGCAAAGCACCCGGGGGTTGGGGGGTGGCCCCATTCTTGACGCTAAGGTGTGGAGTGACTGACGCAGGCAGGTGAGCCTCCTCTTCCAGTTGCATTGAGAGGAGAGACCAGACTCAGCTGGACCCAGACGGCAGCCACAGTCTCCCTGCAGGAAAGTACCCAGAGCTGCTTGTAAATTTCAGTTCTATCTCCTGGGAACAAGTCTTGGCTTGCTTTGATTGATTTTTTTTGGCTTTCAAGTTATAGTACATGGATTTCTGAATTTCAAAGCCCTCTAGCAAATATGCAAATGATTTTAATTTTAGGATAACAGACAGGTGGAATTAACAGTCTGAAGCCAGCATTTTCTTGGTAGTTCTTAACAAAGCTGATAACTCAAAAGCAAGATTATTTTTTGCCTTATAAATTGTTTGGGTCTCTTCCATCTGGTGGGCCTTTTAGGCTGTGATGTTGGAAAAGAAAACATTTTAAGGAAACAGTTCTAAAAAGAAGAAACATTATTTATTTTTGCTACTTTTGATTATGACTTTTTTTTCCATGTGTGTTTAGCAGGAATGAGTAGGGCTGAAGCTGGGGTGATGGTTGGGTTGGTCTGAGAGGAAGATGAAGGCCAACTCTGCCCCGTCCCCAGATATGTTCTGATGCTTCCTTCTGTATATTTCCTTTTCCTGTAGCTCCTTGTGGGCTTTTTGTGAGATGCTTTATTCCAACAAGTACACGGGCCTTGACTAAGTAAGTGGGATCAAGATCATGGTTTAAGAGTCTGATTGTTAGAGTTGGGACATGTGTGGATTCACATCCTAACTTTCCCCACTTCCTGTCCTTGTGAGAATGGGCACTTCCTTTAACCACCCGAAGACTTGACTACCTGTGACGTAGATAGAACAGCACTGCTTCATTTTGCCAGGATGAAAAACACAGTTATGTAAATCACACAGTGCAACACATAACACTTAATAAATCAGAGAATGTTTAGTAATCTTACCAGCACATGGAGGAGTTCCAACCCACCAGCGACTTAGGGGTCATACGGTCCCTCCAAACTGTGCCAGGTGGCCCAGGTGGAGGCAAGAGGAAGACTAACCTTGATTCTTGACTCTAAGGAGCTCTGGGACAAACAAGACTTACACAGGAATAGAAAACGCTGAACTAAGTAGGTCCAAGCTGGTGCTTGATCAAATGCTAAGTTGAATGAGGCAGGTGATAAGAGGAACTGAAATGCAGAGAAGGGAGGTCACTCTAAAGCTAAGAGGTACAAGGAATTTCATTAGTATATTACAATGCGCCAAGCTTCAGGAGACTGGGCCCCTTAATCCTTAACAGAGCCCTGGGGAGAACTCTGGAGGTGGACATTTTTACACCCTGCCTCCCTTTTTTTTAAACAAAAGGTCATTAAGGTCTCAGAGAGATGAAATAAGTCATCCAAGGTCGATCAGACAGAACTGATAGAGTTTGCATTTGACCCTATACCATGGAGGGCAGGCGTGAGGTGACCTGGAGAGAAGGGCGTGGTAAAGGGCGAGCTCTGTTCTTGGATGGCTATCTTCTACAGCTGGAGAACTGTGCCCCACGGCAGAGCTGCATGACACAAGAGAAGGCCCCCTCGGGGTAGACCGTGGGGACCGGCATCCCGGCAGGCTGTGGACATCAGTGCCAGCCAGTCCTGGCAGGCAAAGACTACATAGAGCCCTGCATTGCCACCACCAAGCAGTGAAACCTGATCTGTGTCCCGGCCCCACAAGGTGCCGGGCATTTGCCTTCTTATCGGGCTGGGCACATTCCGCGGCTACGTGGCCTCCTGGGTTACTTCTGTCAGGGTTGATCTACTTCAGGCTGTGTGTGCATTTGCACTGGTGCCTGGCTGGCAAGGTTCGCATTTTTGAGAGTCTGGCCCAGCCACAGGGGGCTGGTAGGGTGTTGTGTTCCTTGGCCACTGCCTTCCAGCAGCAACAGGGCCCAGGGCATCCTGGGATAAGGCCTGGTTCTGGCATCAGAGAACCTGGATTTGAATCCTGCTCCATCTTTCTTAGTTGTATGACCTTGGCCACCTCACCTCATTTCTCTAAGTGTCAGTTTCCTTTACTGTAAAAAGGAAATAGTTAAAAAAAAAAAAAAGCCGACACCGAGGCTCACTAGGCTAATCCTCCGCCTGTGGCACTGGCACCCCGGGTTCTAGTCCTGGTTGGGGCGCCGGTTCTGTCCTGGTTGCTCCTCTTCCAGTCCAGCTCTCTGCTGTGGCCCGGGAGGGCAGTGGAGGATGGCCCAAGTACTTGGGCCCTGTACCTGCATGGGAAACCAGGAGGAAGCACTGGGCTCCTGGCTTTGGATCGGCATAGCTCCGGCCGTAGCGGCCATTTGGGGGGTGAACCAACGGAAGGAAGACCTTTTTCTCTGCCTCTCTTTCTCACTGTCTAACTCTGTCAAAACACACACACACACACACACACACAAAACAAAAAAACAAAACAAAACAAAAAAACAGAAAAACGTGAGCTTAGTTTCATTGTGAATATTAAATTATTTTAAAATAAATCATTGAACATCAACTATTGTGAAGAGCCTGACTTTCCTACATAGGTGCTCCATAAAATTACTATTTTTAATGATATGATTTGTTTCTGGAATTCTGAGCTCGTGGGCACAGGCAGTGGTGGGGGGGCACAGGTGGGTGCCATGATATTTTGCTGGCTTACACCCAGAAGAGCCCCCACTTCCTCTCCTGAATCGGGACAGGAAATTTGGGCTGAGTTTGAACTTGTGGAAACCCTGTGCTTTGCCTGATGGCACAGAAAAGTGTGTGATTGGGATAAAATTTTGCCCCGGTGGGGCAGGCATTTAGCCTACTGGTTAAGATGCTGGCTAAGATGCCTGTGACCCATATCAGAGTCCCTAGGTTCAATCACTGGCTCTGCTTCTGACTCCAGCTTCCTGTTAATGCAGACCACGGCAGGTAGTGGCGATGGCTCAAGTGACTGTGTTCCTGCTACCCACATGGGAGACCTGGATTGAGTTCCTGGCTCCTGACTTCACCTCTGGGCTATGGGCATTTGGAAGGAGTGAACTAGCAGATGAGAGCTCTCTCTTTCTCTGTTTCTCTCTCTCAAATAAATTAAACAAATAACAGAATACAAAAAAGCATTGCTCGTAAGAAGTCTCTACTGGGCTGGAGTGGAGCTTGAGGAGAGGATCACTCGAAGGTCTTACCCGGTTGGGAGCAGTGCCCCAGTGAGACCACAGCCATCATGAATGTCTTTCTCATCTACTGAGTGCAGCACTTAGTGCACAGAGAACCCAGGATGTGTCACTCACACTCGGGTTTCAACTACCGTTTGCCACCTGTATGGACGTAGGCAAGCTGCTTAACTTCTCTCAGTCCCTTGTCTCACATTAGGAGGGTTATATGTGCAGACATCAAAAGGTTCATGAAAATGGAATTATGTGGTGCCAAAAAACTTCTAAAATTCATTCAATGAATCTTTAAAAATTTCATGAAAATTATGCATCACATAAAAGCTATGTGGCTTTCAATTTTTTTTACACCAAAATCAACATCCTTTAATTTCATTTTCCACGAACTTTTTAAAGTCCCCTCACATTCCTTTTCCTTTTGTTGCTCTTGATACTCGCAACAGTCCTGTGAGGTTGGCCTTATTCCGATGATGATGATGAGCAAACTCAGATGGCTTACATGATTTGCCCCAGATCAGGGTAAGTACGAGGGGTTGCACAAGATCAAGCCCCACCAGTGGAAAACCTCAACCAGCTGTCCCTGAGAGCAAGTTCCGGGTCGGCTCTCCAGTTTGAGGCCTTGGGCCCTTCCCCTGGCTGCCCAGTCATGGTGCTTTTCCAAACTAAATTCTTGTGCTCTGATGACACCAACTGGCTATTTACATAGTATATCTCTGAGAATGATCTTGGGCCAAAACCCTGACGTTTTATGAGAAACTGGCTAATTAGATGAGGCCCTGTTGGTCTGTTGCCATGGAGTAGATGAGGCAGATTGACAATTTTAGGAGGCTGTAAAAATTCTCTGGACAGGAAAATAAAATTGCCTGCAAGGTGTTTTGAAGGAGACTTTTTGCAGGAGGGTGGCTTGACTTTATGGAATGTCACCATAGAATATTCTAGATGGGCTGAGGGTTTGCTTTTGATCAGTTCAGCTGGAAATCAGCTTATTATAAAAAAAACTTGGCCACCCAGGCTATGTCTCTGTAGCCCCAGTCAGATGAGCACAGTGCAGAAGGGAGTAAGGGGGTACAGAGTATTTCTGGTTCATTCGGGGGTCCCCTCTGAGTTTCAGAAAGCAGAATGACTCCTTAGAGGTGGCAGAGCTGTGGATCAAACAGGAACTGGATTTTCCTTAGCCAATGAGAGGAAAATTCAAAGTGGCTGGAAGGCACATTGCAGGTTCTAGAATGTACCCTATGCCTGGCGCTTGTTAGCAGGTGCAGGTGGCTGCTGGCTGCTGTGAGGTACCAGGAGAAAGAGGAAGAGGGGCTGCTTGGTGCTGCACTTGGCTAAGAAGAGCGGATTTCTGCCACTCAGGCCTCATGTGACTCTGAGACCCCGGCTTCATCTCTGCTTGCCCAGCCCCACAGTTGGACAGTCAGGTGCAATCCCTACTCCACTCAGGGAGAGGAGACCGAGACAGAGGGGCCGTGAGGATTGCATGAGTCAGGCCGTGTGCTAGACACACAGAGCTTTCCGGGTTTTGGAGACTTCTGATGCGTGCTTAGGAGCTGGCTGATGTCATAGTCTCAGCCCCTACCACCACTTCCTCCCGACTCCAATGCCAGTTTCCACCATTCTCCCAGTTTCATGGGCTATAGGTAAAATGAAAGGAGGCAAAGAATACTTCTCAAAGCTGTTCATTAAGGAAAGGTGACCTGCCTTAGTGCATTTGTGCTGCTGCAACAGAATTCCTGAGACTCAGTAATTGGTAAAGAACAGAAATCCAGGGCTCCCACTTCTGGAGGCTGTGAGGGGCGGGGTGGTGGCAGGTGGTGGACGTGGTGCGGCCCTCTGCTTCCAAGATATGGTGGGAAGAATCACTATATTCCTAAAGCTGTACTTAGGAAATGCAAGAAGTTTGTATTACTTAAATAAAAGATTTCTTTGGGAGGAAAATAACTTTTTATTAAAAAAAAGTGTCTTGATGCTACATCCTCTATGGAGGAGGGACGTGTGCCCCCCTAAGGCAGAAAGTGGAAGGGCATGTCGGGGACAGACTCCCACCAGTAAGACCTTGTATCAGGGCACCGAGTCCTCCTTATGCAGGAGGAGCCCTAAGGCCTAATCATCTCTTACAGACCCCACATCTTAACGCCATCACCTTGGCCACAGCTGAGCTTTGGAGGGACCCATTCAAATCAGCCCAGTTCTGCCTCTCCCAGTCTTACACACGCCATGGCCCGTCCTATTTCTCTCAGCTTATCCATGTGAGTATATCTTTTTTCCTCACTGATGGGGTGAGTTGTCTCCTTTCCCTGGGGAGTCAGGATGCAGGTTTTGGTGCTCCCCAGACCTTGGCTTTCCCTGGAATCAGCTGCCATGATGTATTTAGGGAATCAAGTCCTTCCTTCCTGGTTTCCTTCCCCCCTCCTTCCCTCTTTGTCTTTCATTTTCTCTCCCTTCCTTTAGCCTTCTCTGCTTCCTTGATGTTCCTCTTCCTGCTTCCTCCCTTGCTCCAAACATTTTGACTGCCTTTCTTTCTTTTTGAAAAAGATTTATTTATTTTTTTATTTAAGAGGGAGAGGGGGAGGGGGAGGGGGAGGGGGAGGGGGAGGGGGAGGGGGAGATCTTGCATTCTCTAGTTCACTCCCCAAATGGCTGTAACAGCCAAGGCTGGGTCAGTCTGAAGTCAGGAGCCAGGAGCCTCCTCCAGGTCTCCCACATGAATGCAGGGTCCCATGCACTTGGGCCATCTTCTGCTGCTTTCCCAGGCACAGCAGCAGAGAGCTGGATTGAAAGTGGAGCAGCCGGGACTGGAACCCATGTCCTTATGGGATACCAGCACTGCAGACAGCAGCCTTACTCGCTATGCTGCAGTGCTGATCCCTTGCCTTTCTTTTATACACTGACTTTGGTCCTTCCCTGTGACAATCTTGTTTGTTAAAAAAAAAAAAAAAATTTTTTTTTAACAAAGTGGTGTGCTCCCTGACACCAGGGACCATGTCCTGAACTTGTGCATGTCTGGCACGTGCAGTGACTTTCTAGAAACACGTGTCCACACGTGGCTCTCAGCTAGGGTCTGACTTTCCGGGAGCAGTGACTACACCACAGAGGCCAAGGCAAGAGCGCTGCCCTCCCTCCCAAAGCCCCTGTGGGTGCTTTCTTGGGCTCTTGCTGGCTGCTGCTTGGGTGGCTTTGCTAGCTGATGGTTGCTTTATCTCCAGCCATGCCTGGTGGCTGTCCTCAGCCCAGTGTATCAGCCACACTTGCTTGTTTTGGCTACACATGCCCTTCCTCAGAGGGAACAAGTGGTTTGGGATGGCAAGCAGGGCAAGTCTAGGGCATCCCCTTCGTTTCTTTATTTTCTTCCTGGCAACGGGAATTCGCAGTAGCTGGAAAAACTAAAAATATCTCGGAGCCCTGGTTTCTGACTCTGTCTAAAAAAAAAAAAAAAAAAAAAAAAGGACAAACACACAAACAAATGAAGCCCAAAGTGAATTCTCTAACTCTACATGTAGGATATGATTGCAGACAAACATCTGCCATCATTCAGATTTTGGGGGTGAAATCTTGGTGTTTGGTGCTATGGATTGTGTTCAAAGTGAAGAGTTACATGCTAGGAATGGACAAGAAGTCTCCACAGAAGGGTTGAGCGGACACCTTCGGGTTACATGGTGGCTGTGCCAGTTGCACCCTAGCTATGTGCCAAGCATGGGGCTGATGGCTTCAGATACATCCTCATTAAGTTCTCCAACAACCACAGGATGCAAACAGGTGTCATCTTGATGTCCATTTTACATCAGAGAAACTGAGGCTTAGGAAGGGCTAAGTGATTTATCCCCAAACCTCAGGGTTCAAACGTGGGAGGGACGCTGGTTCTCACACTCTTCTTAGTCTCTAGGTTATAGTTCCTCTGAAAGGAAAAACTCTAAAGGGAGGCCACTAGACCCAAAATGAGCTCTCAGAGTAATAAATCCCCCAAGAAGATGATGATGTTTGCCTTCATTTGTATGTGTTTGAGCCCATTAGAGTAGTCCTATAAAAGTATACTGTATCTTTCTGGATACCACACTTTCTGGATACCATCAGCGCTGCTGGCACCAGGTGAGGTAGTCCCTTACTCAAAAGTAGCAGCGTCAGCATCAGCTGGGAGCCTGTTAGAAATGTAGGCTCTCAGGACCCACCCCAGAGCTGTGGGATCAGAGCCTCCACAGGCTGCTCCAAATTAGGATTTCCCCTTCTGTGCACCAGAACCCCAGAGCTGCTGCTTCCTACCTGTAACTGTGTTTGCATACAATTAGGCTGATTAAAAATAAAACTTTGAACATGAGCATCTCCGCCTTGACAGGCGCCCCTGCTGGTTCACGTGTTTGTGACAATGGGAAGCGTGCTCAATCTTGGGGTGTGTGGCCTAAGCTATTGGGGTTTTTCCTCAAGGAAAATATCTGAAAGCAGAGGTAACTGATTCACAATTCATTTCTTCCTTTTCCAGACATTGAGCTTTTTATTTAAAAATATTGAATAGCTCATGATGTAACTGATAGCAATGGTCAATCGTAAGAACTTATTTAAAAATACTACATCTTGGGGGTAGTTCGGTGCAGCAGTTAAGATGCCTGAATCCCAGATAGGAGCACTTGTTTGCTTCCTCCTCCAGCCCAGCTTCCTGCTACTGTGTCCTCAGGAAAACAACTGGTGATGGCTTGAGTACTTGAGTCCCTGCCACCCACGTGGGAGACGCGGATGGAATTCCGGGATCCTGGCATTTTCAGCCCCAGCTCATGCAAGCATTGGTGAGAGGGACCACTGAATGGGAGATCTCTGTCTCTCTGCTTTTCAAATAAAATGAAAATCTATTTAAAAAATGGAAAAAGCCTTTCCCCTACCATATATTATCTCATTTAATGTTAAAAAAGGTCAATGAGGTACATTCTTCTTAGGCCCATCTTATAGAAAAGGAGAGATGGCAAAGACAGATTAAATTGTCCAAGGTTAACATAGACAGCAAGGAAAAAAACAATTTTTTCAAACAGTAAAGTTTGCCTAAAACTAAATACCAGAGTATGTTAGAATTTCCAAAGCCACTGAAAATCACCTGTTTTCAATCTAATACTCAGAGACTTGCCAAGTCACCCCAAGGATGAAATCCTTAACATAGTTTAACAAAAGCAAGTACTCACCTGTGGGCACTTATGTTACAGAGAAGAACAGAAATAGCAGCCACTTAAGTACTTCTACTTCGAGTTACTAGCACTTTATTTGTATTTCTAGTTTTTTGCTGTGCATCCATTTTGCACTTTACTTTGTAGAAGGTAATTTTACTTAGGGTGTTGGGTTCTGTCTACAGGGACCATGTCTTTTTAAAAAAAAATTTATTAATTTATTTGAAAGGCAGAGTTACAGAGAGGCAGAGGTGGAGAGAGAGAGGTCTTCCATCCACTGGTTCACTCCCCGGATGGCTGCAATGACCTGAGCTGCGCCGATCCAAATCCAGGAGCCAGGAGCGTCTTCCAGGTCTCCCACGTTGGTGCAGGGGCCCAAGCACTTGGGCCATCTTCAGCTTTCCCAGGCCATAGCAGAGAACTGGATTGGATGTGAGTAGCCAGTTCTTGAACCAGTGCCCATATAGGATGCCAGCTCTGCAGGCGGTGGCTTTACCCACTATGTCACAGTGCCGGCCCCTTGTACACTGTCTTCTGTGGCAGAGCTTTCCAATTCTGCATTTTGTTGTCAGAGCCGCTGGTGCCCTCATTCTGCTGATGGACAGCATTGTGCAAGAATGACAAGGGGGTCAGCTGCGTGAAGCACCTACCCAGGAGAGTTCTACTCTACAAGCTTCCTAGACCTTTCCTATGGGCTTAGGCTTTGGAATAGGCTATGGGATTATACAGATTTGGGTCTGAATTATGGTCCTTTAATTTACTGGTTTAGGCATTTGACTTAATCTCTCTGAATCTTAGTTTTCTCATCCAGAAAATGGGATAACAATACCTACCCATTGGTTGGTTATGGAGACCAGGCGAGATAGTACATGTAGGTGGTCTAGCAGGAAATCTAGTATGCAGCAGACAAAATGGGGGAGCCCTGCCTGCAGAGGTGACCCCAGTCTGCAAAAACATGATTCCCCCTCCCCCCAAAAGTGGGCAGAGAACATAAAAGCCAGTTAGACCGGGAAGCCTTGGCCGAAAACGAGCAGGACTGTTTTCAAACTTCTGTGCCCCTGTGATGCTTTTACAATCCCCATTCCCTCCGGCATGGATGGGCTGCTGTCTCAGTGTCCTGAAGAATTTGGAAAGGTCATAGCTAAGCTGAGTCATCCCTGGGATGATGAGACTTCCTTGCGATCAGTGCAAGAAACCAGTTTCGAAGGGGTTTACTGAGTGGGGAGGTTTGACTCCATTGATTTGTGTGCTTTTGTAGCCCACAGAGGCGAAGGCACTTGTCCAGTGTCACCGAGTCAGTAAGTGGTGGAACCAGGAGTCCATGTCTCTGTGTGGCCATGTCTGTGTGGCTCCAGAGCTCTTCAGTCTGGGCTGTGCCGCCTTAGACGGAAGTGGAGTCAGTGGCGGGGGTGGGGGTGGGGCGGGGATTGGATTCCCACTCTCTCTTCCTGCTGAGGAAGGACTGCAGACACGAGCCCACTCTCCTCCTGCTGTGGGAATGACAGCGAGCGCCAAGGCTCTGGCCCGCATGGCTGACCAGGTCAGAAGGCTCCGTCATGTCCTTCACGGATGGCCTCCTCCAGGTAATCGCCTAGCCCCAGCCTGGCAGAGGCAAGGTGCCAGGGCGGGGGTGGCACAGATGGCTGCCTACCAAGCAGGGAGTCCTCCTGCAGCCATCCCTTAGAGAAAGGCAGCCAAGCCTCATGGTAGCTTTGATCCTTCCTTTCACCCCCTGGAGACGTGCTGGGGACAGAGAGAAAGGCTTCAGCCATCCTAAGCTTGGCTGCCGGAGGAGGCAGAACACCCTCCAAAGAGAAATTGAAAGGAGCAGCCTGGAGATTGTCCAGCTCCCCTTGTCTAGTTCTGCTTAGCGAGTCAGTGGCAGAGGGGACAAGCTGCTCGCGAACAGTCTTGCTCCTCAAACCCAACTCAAACCGGCTGTGGGTGGTGACTGGCAGCGAGGAGCTGGCTTGTGAGCCAAGAGTAGGGCCCAGGAAGAACAACCGAAGAGGAGCGCTAGTTGGGCTGAGGTCCTACAGAGTTCTAACCCACCACACTCGCTTGTGGAGACCTTGCATACCCTACAGCACCCTGGGCCTGGCTCCTGTTAGTCAGCTGGGCATCCTTGTTGCACGTTTCTGTTTCAGACAAGGCATGAGGCGCATGAGGACTTACTGAGACCGCCGAGGCACTCAGACTGAGAGGGTTTGGGCCGGAGCCATCTCAGCCGCACGGGGGCCAGTGTCCTTGCCTGGCCGTGCCGGCTTAGGCAGAGGGAGTGGTTCACAGCTCATGGTTGGAGGAGCAGGCGACTGCAAGAGGAAGTCACATTTCTGAGGCTTTACTCAGGCCAGAACAGCACATAAAGTGAAGCCTCTGAGACCCCAGGGAGTAAATGAGCCCCCTCCTGGCCAGCTGAACACCGCAAATGGAAGTGGGAGGCATGGTTCCTCGGAGGGAGGTCACCTTAAAAGATGGACCAATGTTCCCAGCACTGGAAGACCCTTTGCGACATGGAACAGGCAAAAGGAGCCACCTGGAGAGAGTCAAAGTCTATAAGAATTTTTACAGTTGGCCAGACCTATGATCCATCCCCCCAGGCCAGAATTCTCTGATAATAAGAATAAACATGAAGGAGATGGTGTTTGCTATTGGCCAGAGCCTGTGCTTTTTGCGAATCTTTTTTTTTTTTTAAGTTTCTCAATAGATTTATGAAGTTGGAAGTGCTACCAAGAGTTTGTGTTTGCCCCTTCAGATGATGTCAAAAATCAGACACATACCCCTTGTCCCTCTCTCCTCAGCCTCCAAACTCCGCTCTTTTTCAGTAGCACATTATTGACCTGTAAGCCTCAGAAATGCAGAGTTCTGTGCATCAGACGACACGAGACAAAGAAAGTACACTGCTCTCCTGCAAGGTGGGCTGGGCCTTGGACAGCGCACGTGACCACTCGGGACCCAATCTGCTCTCCTGCAGAATGAGGCTCGGCTGCACTAGACTGCTGGTTCTCAACCCTGGAGAGTTTTGAAAAACACTATTTAATATCTTATGGAAACATACAAACTTTCAACATATGAGTGCATACATGTAAAAGAATGGTGAAAATGGAATAAGTTCTCTGGTCCAGTTTACAACATTGTGCCAAGAGCAACTTCCTGATTACGATATTATCTTTTTTTTTTTTAAAAGATGTATTTATTTATTTGAAAGGTAGAGTTACAGAGGTGGGGGGGGGGTCTTCCATTCACTGTCACTCCCTAGATGGCCAGAGCTGGGAGAAGCCAGGAGCCGAGAGATTGCACCAGGTTTCCCACGTGGGTGCAAGGGCCCAAGCACCTGGGCCATCTTCTGCTTTCCCAGGCCATAGCAGAGAGCTGGATCAGAAGAAGAGCAGCTGGGACTAGAATCAGTGCCCATATGGGATTCTGGTGCAGCAGGCGGAGGATTAACCTAGTGCACCACAGCTCCAGTATTATCTTTTTTTTTTTTATTTGACAGAGTTAGAGAGAGACAGAGACAGAGAGAAAGGTCCTCCTTCCATTGGTTCACCCCCCAAATGGCCGCTATGGCCAGCGCTGCGCCAATCCGAAGCCAGGAGCCAGGTGCTTCCTCCTGGTCTCCCACGCGGGTGCAGGGGCCCAAGCACTTGGGCCATCCTCCACTGCCTTCCTGGGGCACAGCAGAGAACTGGACTGGAAGAGGAGCAGCCAGGACTAGAACCCGGTGCCCATAAGGGATGCTGGTGCTGCTGGCGGAGGGTCAACCAAGTGAGCAATGGCGCCAGCCCCCAATCTTTATTTAAGATGGCAGTCACCACAGGGCGGGGGGTAGGGAAAGGGTAGATCAGACTCCATGTATTGCATTTAGAACTTCCTGTGATTTCAAAATAGATTTTAACAAAATTCCAGAGGTTGTGATCCTTTGGTTTGGAGCTCAGATGTCGACGTACAATGCTTTTTAAAACCCCCCCAGGTGATTATAATGGCAGCCGTGGTTGAGAGCCACTGAACTAGACGATCTCTAGGTCCCTTTCCCGCCCTAAAATATTATCAGGCAAATTTATCTAACCCCTTCTTGTAACTATTTACATGTTCAACATGTAGGGGGAAGACATTTCTTAAGTTTATTACCCAGTGTGTAAAAATGTTATCGTATTTGTCCTAAAGTTACCTCTCATTGGAGTGAGCCAAGCTCCAGCCTCTCTCCCTTTCAAGCACAGTCGTCCTCTGGCTGTACCCTGGAGCTGCTGCTTCTCAGCAGTGCCCTTTGTTATGACTCTGACCTTGGTCATGGACTCATGCCCACTGGCTGCAGATCACTTCCTGTGGACCCCCAACCTCTGGTCCCCACTGTGAGATGCTATCAGCTCCATATGGGTCTCAGCAGAGAGGGTCAAACTGACCAGGCTGCATCCCCCTTTAAAATCTCTTCACTTTATTCTCTGTACTTCCATCCCAAGCTCTATGGTGTACCATACTTTAGTGACCCGTTGGAGTTAGTCAGTAAGAGGTGAGAGGGAAAATCAAACATAATGCTAGGACTGGGCTTACAGTACAAAAGAAAAACACTCTAAGATGACACCCTTCACCTCAAATTCTAATCCAGCTCGCTGCCCTCATGCTGAGTCCTCTTTTCGGAGAAGGCTTCCTCCTTTGCATACCACAGGGAAATTCTTTACCCACACTCCTTTAGGTTAGGTGACGGCTACTCACAAGTTGATCCCTAAGATTCCCCCTTCCCATCATCATTGACCCTAGGATTCAACAATCCGCAACAGATCTCTTCTTAGAATCCAAGTCAGTCATCCAAGAATAGAGGAAGGAAGTAGTGGCCTCCCCAGGACAGTTCCACGTGAGCTTTGGCACCCAGGTGAGCTGGCAGGTTACAGAGAAACCTCTTCTTTCCTCCTGATTATTCAGATGCCAACTAATGACATCTCTCTGTCTCTCTCTCTCTCTCTCTGTCTCTCATACACACATTTCCCAAAGACCAAAAATATATTCTCTACCCATATAAAGAGAAAGTATTTTCTAAGGCATGATGGGTCTTCAGTGAATGTATATTTCATTATCATGCAAAGCAGTATCCTGTCTACATCCATGTTTACTTTAACTGAGTTATTCACAATTTCTTTGGCTTTGATCCTAACTCATTTTAGCCTTCCACTTTCCAGGTTGAATAACAATGTTTACATTTTCTATCAACACGTATCCTCCCATCCTCCATGCTATCCTTTCAGTTTTCCTTATCTCTCTATGCTTTGCTCTCAAATGTTCACCTGGGGGTTTAGGCCAGCTGCCAAGATGTCACTGTCTGGGCCATTGCTCAAGGTAATAGTTTCTAAATGTTTCTACCTTCAGCTTTGTCTCATATTAATCTTTCTCAGGCTTTAAGAGTTGACCCCTAAGTTAAATTTCCCAGAATTTTGAAAATCAGTCCCTGTCCTGATATTCTCAGCTTTAGAGTTTTCGACTCACACCCCCTAACTGTTGAATTTACTTTGGGGAGACATGTAATCAGTCTTGCACAAATACAGTAAGCACTTTGTTAATTGTTTTTGCTTGATTCATCTTTCTAACGGCTCTGAATAATGAAATTAATCATTCACTTAAGCTTCCATTTAATTTTATGAAATGCCTCTGTGGTACGAGGAGTTGGCTGCAGATGTACATGTATCTTAAGGCAACAGATCACATTCCAAAAAGATTATTCTTCCAAAAGTAGTGCATGTGAAATGTACTGAGGTTATTGGCAGTTCAGACCATAGTATCAGATATACTGAGTGCACAACTCTTAGCCTGATAGGTCATTTTGGGCAATTATTTCATCTCCTCAGACTTCAATTTCTTCATATGTAAAATTGAAGATTAAGTAAGCTAATGCTGAGAGCATGGGCTTCGTCCACGTAAGCTTGAGTGTGCTACTAGGTACTTTACATGAACAGTTCAGAAATTGAATATGAGGGCTCTTCAAAAAGTTCATAGAAAAGGTATATTATGTGGACTATGCATGGATTTCAATGTTTTTGCACCAGATAACCTTTGATTTAATTCTATTTAAGCCAAATTAAAACTGTTAACTCCACTGTCCATATTTCCCTTCATTTGGAAAGTGTTTTTCATGTACAAACAGAGGGTAATCTAGATTGGAATCAACTTTGGTACATGCAGGTGCCTGGGCTCCCCCAGGCCCACCCACTCGTGCTTTCTCCCACTGAGGCAGAAGCATCTGTATTTTATCCAGCCGCCCAGGTTAGTGAGAGGCATTTTTGGTTGGCTCATTGCTGCTGATGTTCTACCTGCACCTGCAGGGCTCCCGAGCTTTTCTGTGGGAGCTGCAGTGGCTGAGAGAGGAGGCCAAAGGTGTGCAGCCTCCTAGTGAAACACCAGGAGACCTGTTGGCCCACATTTCTGGAAAACTCTTAAGGACTATTTTAAGGGGAGGGAGGGGTATACATTAAGAAGCCCAGCAGCTGCATTCACCCATCTCACATTCCTCTGTGAAGCCTTTTCCATTCTAGATTCAGGGAAGAACTAAAGGGCATACAAAGGAAGAACAAGAACCAAGGAGGTAATTAAATGCTGTTTGTTACAGCTGCAAGCTAATTGATTGAGAAGGCAGAGAACCAAGTCGTGAAATAAAAATAGCAACAGCAAGAATGGCAATCCGGAAAGCTGTAGCTTGGTGCTAACACTGGACATCTTTGGGGTCTTTGCTCTTTGTCCCTTGTTGACAGTAACTGGGGGTGGGGTGGAGAGCATGAGGCCCTTTGGTCTGTGTGAAGAGCTATTTGTTGACAACAGATCCATTGCAAGCCATTAAAGTTTTACTTTTATTGGCATCTCAGAAAGGCAGCAATTGTTCTATTTCCCTGGCATAACCGTTCCGTGAGGCAGGCTGCAACTTGTACTATTTGCCCAAGCTTTACTTGAGTCCCCAGGGAAAGGACAGTTGGCACATGTCATTTTTAAAGCGTACCCATCTCCTGATAGGAAGGAGCCCGCCGAGGTGGTGGTCAGCTGTCTTCAGCCCCAAAGTGTAGGACTCTGGCAGCTCTTGAGCTTGGCATGTTGGCATCCTGTCTGCCTTAGCTGTGGTGGGGACTCAGCATGGTGTGGATAAGGAAGTTGAAGTTTAATGATTCCAGGGCTCCTGAACAATCTCTAATAAACAGTAGCTTCTCTCTAAATAATGGTAGCTCAAACTTTCCACCACCAGATTGTAAGGAACAGGGCTTCGATATTCTTTAGACCCAAGCTTGGGTGCTTCCGAGGTGGGTAACACTGGGCAGATGACTTAACTTCTCTGAAGTTAGTGACTCCTCATTTCGCAATCAATCTTGTGAAGATTAAATGGGATAATGTGTGAGAAAACTCATAGGTCATTCTGGCACCCAGGAAGAGCTCAGAGAACAGTGGCTGTGGCCAGTGCTAGTAGTATCAGTAGTGCTGCCCTTGTGCTGAAACTTGGATCCCGGAAGATGTATCCCAGACTGCAGGGATTAAACCCTGTGCCTTAACAGCCTCAGCAAGCAGTATTTAGCAATGCAGTCTGCATTAGCACGGGTAGCTAAGTTACTTCTCTTGACCTTGAAAGACAATAGAGCTGCTTCCAGTGGATCAGAAGGAGTGAACCTGGAAATTCAGTTGTAAACAACATAGTCAATTTTGCAAGCATGAGCAATGAATCTTTAAGGACCTAAAACATAAATTCAGAAACTGGAAGATGTTTCACAAAGTTTGTGGGATAATGGCATTTAAAAAAGCCTGTTTTGGTGCAAAAAAATTTGAAATTCATGCATGGTTTTCTCATACTACACATTCCCATGAACTGTTTAATACTCATTTCATATTGTTGCACCAAAATAATAAACTTATCTTTTATTAAAAAAAAAAACCTTTTATATGAGAGAGCAGGAGAATGAGAGCTCCTATCTGCTGCTTTACTCTCCAAATGCCTACACAAGGCAAGAGGTGGGAATTAAGAACTCAATCCAGGTCTCCCAAGTGGGTAGCAGGAACCAAATTACTTGAGCCATCCTCACTTCCTTCCAAGGGTCTGTATCAGCAGGAAGCCAGAATCAGAAGCAGAGTTGAGATTCAAATATTGGCACTCTGAGAGGGGGGCATCTTTTCTTTCTTTTTCTGAAGGTTTATTTTTTAAGGGCAAAGTGGTGGGAGGTGGGAACAGAGAGAGGGAGGGAGGGAGAGACCACCCATCCCCTAGTTCACTCCCCAGATGACCACAGTGGTCAGGGCTGGATCAGCCAGGAGCCAAGAACTCCAAATGAATCTTCCACATAGGTGGCAGGGGCAAGCACTTGAGCAATCTTCTGTCTTCCAATGCGCATTAGCAGGGACTTGGATTGGAAGTGGGCAGGCAGGACTGTTACCTGCCCTTGTACATGGGATGCCACCATCAAGTTGTAAGAGGCAGCTTAACTGCTTTACCACATCACCAGCCCCTAGACTTCTAGACCAAATGCCTGCCCGAAACTTATATTTTCATTCTACCTCTCCACGAACTTTCTGAAGTACCATTTTATATGGTCACAACAAATTCTAAACTTTAGGCTCTTTCAGTTGTATGGCAGCTCTCAAGAGAAAGAAGATCAAATATCTGCCCAGAAAGTTTATAAAATAATACTTTGGAAACAAAAAAGAATTATCTACAGATTAACACTGCTGTAGGTAAGATATACTTTTGGGTCATATAAGCATTCTATTGATTCGTGTTAGGTATGAGGCACTGATCATTACTCAATGTCTTTTTAATGTTGCTCCAAGCTGTACAGCCCCATCTGCAGCAGAGGCAGGGGTGTCCATTTCCACCATTGTAACTGTGTCTACCCTCAATCCCAGGGGAGCAAAGGCAGCTTATCACATTAACATAACCTCAGATTTCATGAATAAATGAGATGAAAACACCAAAGAACAGCTAGTGAGTTCTAGAATTACTTGATAACAGAACAAGTAGAAACCATTGACAATTTAAAAAATAACCCAACATTTAGTAATACAAAATTATTTATTGGTAAAAAAATTTTGTTCATTACACAGAAAACTAAACCATTGAAAGTTTCCTACAACAATGTGGACTGTGAACACATAAGTAGGAGGGACACCCTGCCCAGGTCTGAGGACTTCACAGTAAAGCCTAAGTTAGTGTCAGAAAATTGAAAGTAGTGATAGGTAAACCGTACTTGTGGTGGTTTCTTAATGGGTCGCGTATTTTGAAAAGTGTCATCTAGACGTGGTACAAAAATAGATGTACCCATGCCACGTTCCAGGGAAGCGTAGTTTCTATTAACTATAGCAGATGTCGCAGTCCGTTTCCCTGGCGTAGAAATCGCTGGCAGTGGCTGCCGAGGAGGCAAAGTCCACACAGTCTGCCCCTGGATAGGAAAAGTACGCTGCTGTCCTGACGGCATCGAGGTGCTCCGCCTCGCAGGAGGCGCAGCAGCAGGTGGAGGTGGCCACGGAGAAGCCCTTGTACGGGGCACTGGAGGGCGAGGGGTGGTAGGAGCAGTCTTCTGGGGGGTAGCCACAGTTTCTGGTGTCCACAGAAGTGGGAGAAGTGAAATTCCCAGGAGTGTAGGGAGGTAGCTGAGCCGGCGAGTCACTGTAATCTAAGGAGCCAGAGAGAGTGGAGGAATCTGAAGGCGATCCTGGGGTCTGGAGAAATAAAAACCAAGGAACAAAGAGCTCGCTGACTTAGGATGAAAAGAACTGTACAGTGTAGATTCATTAATATGGAATAGGGTGTAAACAACAAAACGCCCAAATCTGCAGAAGTAATTTTATTTGCTGACTGCATGATTTCATGACACCACATTCTGTATTTACCTCTTTATTTCCCAGCAGTCAATTGCCTTGCTTCACTGGCTTCCTTTGTTAGAACCAAACTTTAGAGGATGCTTTGTTCTTAAACCACAAAATCCCATTGTGCTTCAAGTCACCTGCACATCAGATCCTTCTGTGTGCCATAATATAAGCTGCAGGTGGCACCCCAGGTATTTCGGTACACCTTTGACCATGGAGATCCAGGTGGACCACATGCAAAGGTAGAATTTGGATCCTCTGGGACCCAGCCTTTTGGACTATGCCAAGACAGTAACTACTCTTCCCACTGCTAAAGCACTGAAATACTTAACTACTAAAGTACCATCTGCTTCCTCTTGCGAAAGTCTATAACTGTTACCGAGAGAGCCTAACTCAGAGGCTGCAAGGGAAGTAGGTATCTGGGACCCAGTATGTCTATCATGACAACATGTATACACTGTTAATTTCCTATCCCCTCTGAAATTGAGTTGATGCCTATAAAGACTGTTGACAAACCAAAAGATAAAAGTCTCTACATTTCTTAAAAATAAAAATTTACATTAAATGTTTTAAAAACAACTAGTATCTCTCATTAAGAAATCTTATTTCATTTTAAGGGAAAACACATTTTCAAATTTTGAAAATAGTCCAAATTCTTTCAACAATTTTTTGCTAGCCTTGTCAGACTCAAATGAGTTCTCGTGCCTATAGCAGACCAAAACAACCAGTTAGCAGAGCCTTCTCAGTGACCAAACCAACCACTTCCCCACCATCAAAATGAAGCTGGGACTGTGCAGACACAATCTTAATTCCATTTTCAAGAACTCCAAACTCAATCATAAAGTTCAAGGACCATTGTTTAAATCAGTAATTCCCAGTGTCACAATTCAAAAAACATCAAATGAGCCGGCATCGCGGCTCACTAGGCTAATCCTCCGCCTTGTGGCGCCGGCACACCGGGTTCTAGTCCTGGTCGGGGCGCCGGATTCTGTCCTGGTTGCCCCTGTTCCAGGCCAGCTCTCTGCTGTGGCCAGGGAGTGCAGTGGAGGATGGCCCAAGTACTTGGGCCCTGCACCCCATGGGAGACCAGGATAAGTACCTGGCTCCTGCCATCGGATCAGCGCGGTGCGCCAGCCGCAGCATGCCAGCTGCGGCGGCCATTGGAGGGTGAACCAATGGCAAAGGAAGACCTTTCTGTCTGTCTCTCTCTCTCACTGTCCACTCTGCCTGTCAAAAAAAAAAAAAAAATCAAATGAGTATCGCCAGAAAGCCTCTTTTTATTGTCATACACCAGCTTACTTACATGTGTGAGCGAGCTTCTTTGTAAATCTTACTTATGTGTGTATCCAAGGGTTCATGCCCTGCAACATATGGCTACTGCCACACATTGAGTTCTAAATGGTCCTGTGCTTGATTTCTTGGATGTCTTCCTTGTTGATAGTGTTTGCATGATTTCGCGGGAGATGTTGCAAGCTCTTACAAAGCATTATTACCCCATGGTTAGCAAAAATCAAGTTACATCAAGAACAGAGATAAATTACCAGGCTCTGGTTAAAGCAGAAAGGGGCAGCCTGGAAGCCGTCCGGGAAATAGTGTGGAGCACTTTGCGTGGCGTGGAACGAGGGCTCTGAGAGCGTCTCTGTCTGAAGGTAGGAATCAAAGATCTGGTCGAGGCAGCCTGAGTTTTCATCATAAGAAGCACAACTGGAAAAATCTCGGGGTTGAAAATAATTGGGTGTGGAAGAAATCGGTTCAGGCTCAAAATACAGTCCTGGAGGAGAAAGGAAAAAGGCAGGTTTCTGCTTAGGAATTGTACTACAGGTTTGAATGAAACTCTATATTCTGAATATTTACTATGTCTAGGGGAAATGGGCTTATGAAGTTCCAGAAAAGTAAACAGGCAGGCAAGTTGGACTTTTTCATTGTCTTAACTACTTCAAATCTCAGTGAAATTAATCTGGCTTATAACCAGGAAATTGGCTGCAAATGTGGCTAGGGCAAAAATAAAAGAAAAGGGACCCAACCTGTTTCCAAGCATCACTTTGAAGTAATGGCTCAAGTCTCCACTTTCTTGGACTACCAACAATCATCAACACCCAGCCCCTCTGTCTGCAGCTCAATTCAACCTCCCAGAAATAACTGACAGAGTTGTTTGAGGCATCGAGACAACTCGTGATGCTTTGGGAACGGATTCTCTTGATTTAGGGTAATTGCTTTCCTAAACTTTTTCACACTTACTTAATGAGTTAAACTTTGAGGACAGAGCTTTGAGAAGTGTGTTAAATGACAATGCAAATGATAGACCATGGCAGCTAGCAAATATTGTAGGAATTAATACTACTTGTTTTAAATTACAGAAAGTTCGTTAACATGAAATGTAGCATCTGAACATGACACTGGACATGTTAACATGATAATGTAAATAGAGTGAGTTAAATTTCAAACAAGGATACTTAAAAAAAAAATCACTTCTTTCCCATTTTGGCACCAGTAGGCCCAATTTGTGATTATTTTCCTTAACTATTCAAAGAAGAGGTTTACAGTGTGCCCATCACAGGGACTGCAGGAAATTGGGTTTTTGTTTTTGTTTTTTGAAGTTTCAAGTTCCTCTGAGGTAATATTAAAGTGACACATTCAAGTGGGAGCCGCCAGAAGCACAGGCTTCCTTCTATACAATCTTAAACTCTTAACTGTTGGTGGCACTGGTAGCAGTGTTTGTGTGGTAGAGTTATTCGTACTGGGCTGAGAAAATGTACACTTGTTTGAACTGCTTTGTGGGAAGAGAAAAGAAGGGGAGGGAAGCCCCTGTCAGCTGAAAGCTAAATGAGCAAGGGCAAGGGGGATATTCTAGTACCTCAGGATGCTCTCTATTCCATCGACTAGCACGCTAAAAAAGAACACTGGACCACTGGATCTCACAGTCAAGTTTAGTTGCTTGGAGATGAGGAACTGGAATAAATGTGAAGAACAAGACCCTTGGGGCAGCATAGACAGCAGAGAGCAGACAGTTCAGAAACAAGGACAGAAATGCGTGCTTGTTTCCTTACGGGCTTACATCTGCAGTCACTATGCTTGGTTCACTTTCTGATTGGTTGGATTCCAATTAAATGGTGGTGCCTATCTTAACCCCTGAATCAAGCACCTTTGCAAGACTTTCCAGATGAACTTATTATGAAAGAGGTTTTGAGGGAATTGGAATGCCAGCTGTACTGACCTGCAGAGGATGTTGTTACTGGGTCTGAAATGATACTGCTGCCTCCGGACCGCTGCCAAAGCAAGGATATGACCATGAAGCAAAGTCACGTACAAGTTCTACCAGGGAAACTGACAAACATATTCGGACGGGAACTCTGTTTGCTTCTGCTGTAAGGTAAGCTGATTCCTTCTCTGAAAAGTAGTTGACTTGCTTAAAAACCACTAATGCTATATTTTATTTAGATTCAGTGTTATTGTTTGCTGGGGATTTTTTCCCCTCTAACATCAAATTCTCCCATTCAAATTGTAAAGGTTATTAACTTTGCTAAAAAAAATTAATGTAAACAATTTGTATGTTACAGAAATGTATGTTTGAGAAAACTCCGCCAACAGCCTTTCTGTTATTTAATTTAAAACTAATAAGGACTAACATTTACTTAAAGCCAACTAGCTGTAACTTTTTCCTCAAATTTTTCATGTGCCATCTAGATCCTGAGCTGCTGGAATTCCCCAAAGAACACAACTCCTACCTTTATTAATGATGAAGAGCCAAAAATGTTCACAGGTTCTTACTATGTATGAAATATCAAAATAGGAAATTATCTTCTTAAAGTCTCAGGGAGAGTGAGTCATAGCAATCTACCTTCTAGTTTATGGTTAGGAGATAATTCAGCTCTGTATGCTTTTGACTACTTTCGCTAAACGTTGCTTTTATCATTACTGTATTTAGTACTTAAAGTTTATGAGACTGCTCCTTCTCACTGTTTAAAGTGCAGCAGCCTGCATTTTCCAGTTGAATGGATAATCACACTAAATGAGTAATTTAGGATTTCTTTTTTTCTTTTTAGATTTCAGGTGGTGGCTTTAAAGTTTAAAGGGACCTGCGTTGCTCTGGGATTCTGGGCTGGAAAGCCGAGCTCGACACACCTGTCCTGGGTTACAGGGTGTACCCACTCCCGTACCCAGAGCCACTGGGATTGCTGCACCATTGGCTTCTGCTGAAACAGGAGGTGGTGTGAATTTTGAAAACGATCCATGCTGTAAAGTCATGAACCAGGAAGCTGGAATCCTTTACCGGCTCCGTATGCAAATATTTGGCTGCAGCTTGAGCTGAAGGACTTGGAAAGAGTGGGTTTTTAAAAATCCGCTTCATTGTAGAATTCTCATTAACCCCATTCCTCCCCCTGCATGGGCCTGTTTGCCTGCCTCCCTGTTATCCTGTTGTTATCTCCCTGAGGTATGTTTACAATATCCTACTTGATATTATCTTTCTAGTCCTGGGTTCACTCTCTCCTTCGCTCCAAGAAATCAAAGAAAGGCACCCCTCTCTTAGATTTCAAACAGCATAAACCCCACAATCTACAATTTATAAAAACACATCAAGTAATGATTAAAAAAAGGTAAATTTTATCTTTAGATAAGTACTAACTCAAGTTTCCCTTTGCCCTAAAGGCAAGTGTGTGTGTATGTGTGTGTATGTGCAAGTTGATCTGACCGACAAGTTTTTAAAAATCCATTTACCAATCCCATATGGACAGGGTTTCCTCTGGTACAGCTTGCAACCTGGGCTATTAGTCTCAATCTATGCATTCATGACTGCCTTCTTAAGATTTCACATTGTGGATGTTACTCTGACTTGACAACAAATTAAGAGAAATTTCCTGCTTTGTAATATTTGTAATAATGCAATTAATTCTCTCCGTGCCTTAAAGTTGTCTAGAGGTCTCCCTCAACAATCAAACAACTTGGAGATCATCTCTGTTACATCAGAAAGGTCTACACAAACACCAAGGAGCAGGCATAAATGCTCCCCTGGGCTCTGGCATCCTTGCCTACTGTGTGCGCCTTCACAGCATGTCTAGAATCCCACATGCTGCTTCTGAGGGCTCCCAGTAAGGGATTTTTACATCTGGCTCTCCTAACCAAATTATGTATGTGTTACACCTACGTGCTTATGAGAGCATGGGCCAGTATCATCTTCCCGGGAGCAAAGCAGAATAAGCTCTGTTCACTCTGTATATTTCTGCAAGGCACTGGTTCAGAAGTCCTGCTTTATTTTCAGAGGTTGGAGGTAGGAGAGGGATTTAGAAAAGATTAGATTAAGTCAAACTGCACCAGGAAACAGAACCTGGTCAGCTACACAAGTGAGACAATTTACCTTTAGTTTAGTTCCTGTAGCTGGCTGACAAGGGCAACAGTGGCCAAACCAATCTGTAAGGACCCCAGAGCAACGGGGTTCCCATGCCCAGAGGGGACTTCTCCAGGTGCAGCTGAAGCAGAATTCTAACAAGTGCCAAAGCTGCTTAACAAAAGACTATGCTTTGTTACAGACACATTGATTTCCTTTTCTTTTTGCTCCAGATGTATGTTCCAGTCCTTTGACCCTGACTTTTGTTATTTATGTGACCATCTCTCAATTGGACTCAGGGCTAACCAGACTCCTGCTAAGTCAGGTTGGATCGCCAGAAAGAGGAATTGAGAGCTGATAGAGGGCAGGTTTTTTGTGCTAAGAATGAGATGAAACTGGCCCTGCTTTGAGCTCGATCTTGAGCAAAGGTGATGTTATGAGCTTTAGCTGTGAGGAGGAACACAGACTTGTGATCCTGTTGCTTCCCCGGTTGTTATAAATGAAGTGAGTATGCCAAAAAAGAATAAAGAATGTTTAAGAGTTACAGGGAAGCCCTCTACAACTGTAGGGATGTTTTCCTGTGCGACCTGACAGCACAGACTAACTTCTTCAGCTGTGTATGCTAAATCACAGCCAGCCACACTTATACTCCAAACTCGAAGCTAAGGGTTTGAACGAAGATTCCTGAGTAGCTGGTTTCCAATCCTTGGTGGGAATTTTATTGTAGTTGTAGGAACTGATGATAGCTAACACTTACTGAGCACTCATTATGTGGAAAGCACTCTTCCAAACACTGTATATGCAACAGCTCATTTAACCCTCAAGAAAATCCTATTATCCCCAGTTCAAAGATGAGGAGAAACTGAAGCAAGAGAGATTGAATCATTTGCGAGAGGATATACACATGGAGGAGCACAGATCTGAACCCAATGCACCTGTTCAACACTCCTATTAGCATTTGCCTCCTCTCATTTCATATGAAGTCATACTTTGCACACAAACATCACCAGGCACAAAATCCATTGTGGAGCAGATGCCAACAGGCTGGAGAAGGACCAGTCCTAACATGGTCAGTACGAATCCCAGCTGTCGGGTCCTCTGTCCACACCCAAACTGACCCACGGGCAATTGTGTGCCCTTCCTTGGGGATAACCCTATCTGGTTTATTGATCCTGCTGAGTGCTCCTGGCGATGCTTATTTGCCTTAGGAAGGTCTGTTTGTTAGGGGAAGGTGCCCTTAGGATGGTTCTGATCAATTCCGTAAGAACTTGTAACTGTGTTCAGGCATCATTAGATCTTAAGGAAGTGGTTTTATGGACCCTCTAAGCTGTCGCCTCTGCAGTGATTTGACCCTTTTGTGCTGGGGGCTTCCAGCCACCGGTGATTTACAGAGAAGTGACCTCGGAGGCCAAGTTCCAGAAGAACAGAGGGAGGGAAGGGTTTTCCACAGGTGCTATCCTGGAAGCACTCCCTAAAATGAGCTGCCTTTCTAGGAGAGATCTGCTGTGGGTGTGTGAGGGCTCTACACACACTGCCTTCTAACACAGTCATGACCTCCTTACCTGGGGGCTGCCGCTCTCCCTGTGGATTGCTAGCAAACCTTCAACACCTAAATCAGTGGCAAATGAGGTCCCCTAAATCCTGAGCCCTACAACAGGCCCCAGCTGTTCCCGAGGGGCCTCCAGTGTTGAACGGAGAGGAAGAGGGGCATGGGAGTTCTCAGCACAGCTGGGGAGAGCCAGGCCTGTACACCAATCCCAGACCCAGGGCTGGAGGAGGCCTCCCTGGCTGGGGAACAAGAGACAGGTGCATGCTTACGGTTCCCCCTGAGGCTGCCTGGTGTGCCCTCCTCTGTTGCAGCAGCTCCTTCACTGTGATCTTCACACGGACACCTTGGTAGACCTTCGGTTTTTCTGGGGAAAGGCAACTGAGTCAGTGGTCAAGGCCAAGGTTTGTGCACCAGGCTGTGGACTTGGGGGCGGGGGAGGGAGAGGGTGTGCTTTATAGGCTATGGTGCTGGAAAATCTGTAGGTTTGGGGGAACACAAAGAGAAATGCTAAACGCTGGTGGAAAACCCAGATTTCTCAATCTTAATGAAGTGAGGCTGAGCGGGTTTGGGGACCGCAGACGGCACAAAACCTCTGGAGATTATAAGGCCTGTTCCCCCCTGGCCCAGGATCCAAGAGCACAGGGGTTTTCTGCTCAGGAATGTGGAGCCCAGGCCAGAGAGCTCACCCCCTTGGCAAACTAACCCCAGGGGCCTCTGGGGTTCTGGACCCCAGCACTGCAGCAGGAACGCGCTCTCCGCTTCACAGCAGCGGACCTAGTCCAGCCCACCACATGTTCCGGCTGCTATGGAAGTCTCCTGTCCCTTCTCCACCACCAGGCCAGGTGGGGCTTCTGCAGAGGCTCTGACCTTCATGTGCCCTTGGACTGGAAGTCAGCCCTGGGACAAGCGGAGTTCTGCCAGCCCTGTCCTAGGCAGGCGAGGGACCTGCCACACTGACCCCAGCAGAAGAGCCAGGGATGTTTCACCTTTCTCTAGTTTTATCTTTTGGCTGTTTCTCCTTCGCCCCTTTTCTCCGCCTTTCCTGCTCTCCATCTTTTCCTCCTCCCTCCTTCGGCCCTGCTCCGGCTCTTCCCTTCTACCCCTCCCTCTCTGGGGCAGGCGTTGCTGGCTGCGCGCGGAGGCTGCGGGGCGAATCCGCGCAGCGCCAGCTCCCGCGACGCGGTCCCTGGGGCGCCCGAGGACCGCGCACTCGGCCGGGAGGCCGCTTTCCGGAAGGGGCCGTCCGCGGCACTGGGGCTGATCCGCAAGGCCCTCGGCTCTCGGGAGCAGCCGGTCGCGCGCCGGAGGGGTCTGCGGGGAGGGACCCTCTGCGTGCTGGGAGCAGGGCATCCATGGCTCCGAGCCCCGCAGAGCCGCAGTGAGTAGGTCGGACCTGCTATTAGGTCAAGCCGGGCCGGGCCGGGCCGGGCCGACCAAGCTTCCAAGGTAGGGGTGACCACAGGAGCCCAAGGAGCCTCCGGCCTGACCTCGATCCCAGAGTGAGCCCCGGGAACTGCTCGGGGAGGGGCTGGGCGCTGCGGCGGGGGGCGGCCGCACGTTCCCCCTGGGCGGGTGGCGACAGTGCCAGGCCGCCAGCGCCTCATCTGGTCACTTCAGAGACCGCAGCTGGACAGTAGGGATCCCTTCTTCCCCAGCCCAAGCCAGGTCCCAGGAGCTAGGGGCTCCCCCAGGAAAGGGGGTTGTGTTGTTCCTTGCCCTGATCCAAGGAGTCCTGCGCTGCAGCGTCGCGCCATCTCCGCACCCCAGTCTCTTCCCCGCCCCTCTTCTGCTCCAGGCTCCGGGCTCCGGGCTCCGCGGGCGGCGGGCGCGCCTCGGGGTCCCCACGGGGACAGCCGGAGCTCAGCTCCGGGCGGCCAGCGCTCCCGGCTCGCATTCCGGATTCACTGCGAGCCTCTAGCTCCCCCAGCTGCCGCCTATGGACGCGCAGGGTCGGCGCCGCGAAGTCCTGGGACCGACTGTGGAAAACTGGGAGAGTGGGCTTAGGGCCCGGGGTACACGGGCCCCTAGAGCGGCCAACTCTGCCTCTTGGCCTTTGCCTTCCGGAGCAGGTGCCGAATGGGAACCCGCGCCCTCTCCCGGATCCCCGCCCGGCCCTTCCTCGGTGCTCTGACTTTGTGCCTCTCTGTTCTGTGCAGGAAAAGCTGTGGAAATAAGCCCGGATCTCAGTGCCCCTGGCCCGCGTGACCCGACCCCAGGAGAAGCAGCTGAGTTACCCGACATCGTGGTCAGCAGGAGCTGGGTCGGAGGCTGGGTGCTGCAGCTGCAGTGTCTGGGCGCCTAGGAGGGCTCCTGTGCAGGGAGAGAAGCAGAGATGCAACATTTTTGAAGTTTCACAAAGCATCCGGCTGCACCCAGGTCCCTGGAGCAGGAGACAAACAGAATTAATGTTTTATACCTTCGGGTATAGGTTTGAGTTTTTTCCCCCTCATGCCAAGTATTTAAAACCTCTAGAAACCCATGATTTGACAATCAATGATTGCGCGATACTTTCAATTTGAATATTCAAAGGCTTAACAAAATGGACTATCTTCTGCAGAAATCCTGCACACAGGCACCCCACAGGGAGTCCAGAGAAACAGGGAGTGAGACCCCTTTGGGTCCTGACTCCTGGTTTTGCCGTATTTTGAGCATTTTGTCCACCTCCCCACAGACAGAGCAGGTGTCCTCGAAGATGCTCTGTAGTTATGCCTCAAGAGCAGCTCGGGAGCCACGCAGGGCCCCGGCTGCCCCCAGGGACTACCTGAGCCAGGCTGGCCAGCCACACTCATCCTCACAAGCCCAAGCTCCGTTTTAAGGGAAAATCTCAGGTTTTGGGGAGGGGAACATGGCAGCCAGTGGGTGTGGCCCTGCAAGGAGTCACTCTGGGCCCAGGTTGCAGGCCAGGTGCCCAGGTGGCAAGCAGGAGGCCCAGCAGAGGCCTTGGTTCTGGGCCTGGTCTCCTTGGGGCCCCACCTGGCCACGTGCAGGCTTCCCTCCCCTTTTCATCTGCTCTCTTCCTGAGACCCACTGAGGCCTTGGTGCCGAATCCTCACCCACTAAGACCCTTTGCTCCTCCCCATGGGGTGTGGGGTGCCCACGGACCCCAGCCTCTGGGGATTTCCTGAGACTGGTGTTCCGTCCCCACACTGTGACGTTCCATCTCTCTCCCTCTGCAGCCACCACTGCCTTTTAGCTGAAAGGACATGATTGTTTTTAAATCTTCTCACTCTTAGGGGAGAGGTAAGAGGGGTTAGGGGGCCAGACTGCTTTTTTGGCCCAGGCCTGAGCCCCTTACCAATGACTTGAGACTGTGCAGGACCATTTCCCACAAGCACTTGGTATAGCTCTGCGGTGGCGTCTGGAAGACTGGGAGACACAGGAGTGGCTCAGAGGAGCAGTGCCAGACCAAATCCTGTCCCCTCCCCAAGGGAAGGGGCAGTTGCAGAAGACAGAGAGGAGGGTGGGGTTCTCTTTGCAAACCAAGAGATTGTAAGGTGCCAGAGCAGGTGATGTTGGGAGGCCTCTGCTCCTTGTTCCTTGTGTTCTCTGGGATGCGAAGAGCATGGATTAGCCCCCAAAGACCACCAGAAAACTGTCTGCATGGTCTCGAATGTGCCGGCGGAAGCTATGGAGCTCTGGGAATGCCGAGACCCTGGTAGACAGGAGTTCCTTGGCAGCTGGAGCCAGGTCTCTGGGGGAGAGGATGAGGGCAGTCTCAGGGCTTCTGTGTCAGCCCGCGTTGGCTGGGGTGGACATCCCAGTGCTGTCGCTGGCCAGTAACCTCGGAAGACCACCTTTCCCCGGGCTGGAGTCCTGTTTGCAGAAAGAACTCCCCTGACCTCCCCACCCCAGTGTTTAGCTCAGCGTTAAGGAGTTTAGGTTCCTGTTGTTTCTGGAATTGCCAGCCCCCCAGCACAGGCATTTAGGAGCCGCGCCATGCTGTGGAAGTAAGGGAGGGTCCTTTTTAAGTGGGCTCTGTGAGTCCTCAGAGATCTGAGTGTGCAGTGAGGCCTGGAGCGGCCGACATTGGTGCCCTGAGACCGCAGGCAGCCGTAGAGTTGGGGCTTTCTCAGGTTGTCATTTGTTGTGTCACAGCTGTAATATAGAGCACTGTATCACCCCCATTTCACAGATGAGAAAACAGGCTCTGGGTAAGCAACTTGCTAAGACGATTGAGCATATATAAGTGGCAGAATTGGGTTTCAAACTCTGACAAGTTTCACGCCAGAGCCCTTATTCTTCACTATCATCCTGCTGATATTTTGTTAGAGGTGCTTTCAAACTTCTGGGACTTCAATCCACAATAAGAAGTCTGCTTTACATGATCATGTACATCTGTAACAACACCCATGTGGAGAAGACAAACCGATGTACACCTGCACACATGAGGCTCTTGATACTTTCTCTTGTATTCCATCTTTTCCAATTCATTCCATTTATGAAAAATATGCTAGTTGTTAATTGAAGGATCCTTCTTGAGTTGTAAGTAGCATTGGAAAAATAGTATCTGTAAAGCAGGCAAGCACACATTTCAGTGTTGTGTGCGGCAGGTGTATTTTGGTGCGCTGTGAATTTTGCTACCAGTGGATATGTGGAGGCTGACAGTCTTGCTGACTTGAGAGTGTTCATTAAAGACTGGAAACCCTAGAATCTAAAGAGGTGAGGGTGAGGTTTAATGAATGATGCTAAATCCAGTTTGTGCTTGGGGACCGTCTGGCTGGGGACATTGTCACCTTTAGCAAGTCAGCCCTCAAGTCCTTATCATCTCTCAGGAGCAAAATACAGAGGCAATCTCAACTGATTCACCTGCTTGAAAATATGACCCAGAGTCTTGATGTTCAGGTGTCGCAGAGGATCTTTAAGTACTGGGAGGGACTGTCTTTTCCTGTCATCTCTGGTGGCAGCTGGCCTTTGGCTCTGTTGCTTGGCTGAGACCCTGGTTCACAGTAGAATCTGAATAGAGGATGTAGGAGCCCACTATTTGTAGGCAGTCTGTATTACTGTTGGGTTGCTTTGATCAGTGATGGAGCCATCATCCAGTTAGTTATTAGCTACACATCAACCTTGTACTAGGTATGGTATGAAGCACGAGGAATAGGAAGATAAATAAATCCAGGTTTCTGGCATCAACCCCTGTCTTGTCCCACTTACACACTGCTGCTTTTCCATCATGAGACTGTTTAGTCCATTCACTGCCTCATGCATTTATTGAGTGATCATACTGTGATAATCTCTGGCCAGGGCCAGTGCTCAGCCTGAGGAAGTAATTGTGCCACCTCCCTCGCCCATGTCTTCTCTCCCTGAGGTTCACCCATGGAAATTTCTGTAGTTCTGCATACATCACAGTTCTCCAGGTCTCTGCACTCAGAAACTCTTCACTTTGTTGTTGACCTTCAAGTCAGCGGGCCCCACCCAGAATGATGGGACTACAATAGATTTATTTTTAAAGTTTTAAACTAAATATTTTAACAGCCTTTTACACTTGATCTCAGCTAAAAGGCTGAGAAGCAATTTTAACAGTCTTTTGTATGCAAATAAACTGCAGGGTGTTATATTTTTCTCCCAAAGGAGGAGGTTTTATTCAATTTAGACACTTGCATATTGAAAGACTTTCGGTATAGGGAAAAGCCATGGTTTATTCCCTCCAGATTTGACTATAGCTTTAAATTCTCCATGTAAATGCAAAGTTCTTTTGTCACCTTGACTTTAGGACACTGTTACCAAAGCTTGTGGGAAATATCAAGTTCCCAAAGCTTGAATACATGAAGAAAACCAGTACTTACTGGGTCCTCGAGTGAACATTTGGTCCATATGAAATGACCAGGAACTCTGTTAGATGAAGGCTATTTAATGATTTGTGCCGAGTCAGTCTCTTCCCACAAGAAATATTCAACTATTCAACGTCTAACTTTTTCCTTGAGAGGTTTTCACAGGAAACAAGCATTTAATAAGTTATTTAAATAAGAAAAATACCATTATAGACTGCTTGGAAAATTCATCTTTCATGAAAAACATGTAAAAAGTACCATGATGAAGACCTGTGGCTACGTCATCTCAATTAAGAAATAAAACAATTAAATGATCTTTCAATTATGATTATTTAGCATTAAAAATTTCAGATTACTCCATTCAAGATATCTAATTAGGATAAAGGTTAGAGGATAGCTATCACTTTTCCTAATGCAAAACAGCTAATTCAATTGGTCCACAATTGTTTCCTTCTGAAATTTGTAAGTTTTTTAAATATTCTTTTTTCCCTTATAATGTATTCGCAGTAACATTGTACATTGCAACCATATGTCTTATTTATTAGGGGTTGCAATTAAGAGATACTTTTGTTGGCCGGCGCTGCGGAGCCTATCCTCTGCCTGCGGAGCCAGTACTCTGGGTTCTAGTCCCTGTCGGGGCGCCGGATTCTGTCCCGGCTGCTCCTCTTCCAGTCCAGCTCTCTGCTGTGGCCCAGGAGTGCAGTGGAGGATGGCCCAAGTGCTTGGGCCCTGCACCCCATGGAGACCAGGAGGAAGCACCTGGCTCCTGGCTTCGAATCGGCGCAGCGCCGGCCGTAGCCTCCATTTGGGGAGTGAACCAATGGAAGGAAGACCTTTCTCTCTGTCTCTCTCTCTCACTGTCTAACTCTGTCTGTAAAAAAAAAAATAATAAAAGATACTTCTGTATCAGAGATTGAAAGTAACATGGTTCTATCTCTGGCAAATAACTATAGATGATTTTATTGTTATGTACTTATCTTGAACTTTGGTGATTTTGGTTCTTGATTTATTTTTCATACATGTTTCAATCACACAGTAGATAATATCAAGCCTTGGATAACTTATTTATAAGACTTTCTGGCAGTATACTATAGTGCATGTAAGTATATAAATGAAATATTCACATTTTCTGTGCTCCTTCACAGATTCAGTAACTTTCCTCTATAATACATGTAAAAATACTAAATTCCTACTAAAGCTCAATATCACCCACTGTTTAGATTTGCAGAGTGTGGCTAATTGTCAAGTTATTATTTTCATTTATTTGAAAGGGAGAAAGAGAGAGAGAATATGAATGTGTTTCATCTGCTTGGTTTGTCCCTGAAATGCACTGTCAGCAATCTGGAAATTCATTCGGTGTCATGCAGATGGCAAGGACTTGAGTACCTGAGTTCTTACCCATTGCCTCCCAGGTCCACATTGGCAGGAAGCTGGGTTGGAGCCCAGTGGGGACTTGAATCCAGGCAGTTCCATATGGGATGGGGGCCTCTGAAAGGCTGTGGTATGGCTAATTTTAAATATTACCCCTGGTAAGAATTTTCTCATGTACTGGTTTCAAGAGAGCTAGCTCGATATTCCTTTGTGTGGCACAGTTTTACTTCAATCCGACATAGATTTAATGAGCACCTATTTTGTGCTAGGCTCTGAGCCAAATGCTGGTACAGAGAGGTGGGCCATTCATGCGTCTTCCCCTTGAGGCTCTAGCTGGAGAATGGCTCTCACCTGGAGTATATGACTTTGTGAGTTACCTCTTTACAATGGAGATGATGTGTAAGACAAACCATGTAATCTTCTTTTGAATAGAGAAAATCCATTAGAACTGCTCAGAACCCAACTATAAAACATAAAGAGCATAACTTTGGTGTGGGGTTAGTAGAATCATTACCATGTAATGTGATTCAACTGTGAGCATCAATTGTTATTTTGGTACTTTAAATGTAAGTCATGTTTTATTCCTTATGGCTGTTATTTAGATTTACATATTGAAAGAGGGATCATACTGATGCTAGTAATACTGGTATATTTATGTGCGTGTATGTGTAAGTATATATGTATATGTAAATATGTATTTTACTGTTGGGGTTAATAATTGTTTTCCCTTTGTGGAATTTAAGAATACTTCAGTCTCCTTCCCCTTCTACAATAAGTACCTTGATGCTGTGTTGTTAATTGAGCTGTAGGAATTCATAAATCTCATTTAAAAGCATTTATTAAATAAACAAGGTAAAGATGTGGTTTCCTTCTGCCATTCTTTGGGGTTTGTATAATATTGTAAGAGAAACACAAAGACTTTCAACTTCATACTATTTCCAGTGACTCATGGGATGATTTGTCTAGATTGCAGCTTTTGCATGGGCAAATTTCACTTTCAGCTTATTTTTGACACTGTCATCCATTCAGTTTTCTTAAGTAGCTTGAACTTGACATCAACATCAACATCACTGCTTGCTTTAAATCTTGAATCTATCCTGTGTCCTGGAAGGACCTGAGAGAGAGAGACTTTTGAACCTGAGCTCTTTTATTTTCTTTGGCCTTCCCAGGAAAGCTGTGAGTCATAGAATAACAGGTTTAAGGAAGAAGAAGGAGAGAGGATGGTGCATTTTTTCCCATATGCTGGTGGTGTGCATTATTATGAAAAGGTGAAATTAGCCCACACATATAGTAGAAAGTAGGGAGTACTTAAGTGGAAAATGGGATAGGGAAATGCAATTGATTTCCCTGTCATAATTTTGTGGCTTGGTTTAATTTTTGACAGAGTATTTCCAGGACCATAAAAAGGACAAATTAAAATATATGTAATATAAAGACATATTGTTAAGCTAAATAGAATTCATTTAGCCTTTGGAATTATTAACACCACTCTTAATCCTTTCAAACCCTTTTAGACCAGTTAACTGTCATGGGTGCAGATGGAGTATGGGCCTGTACATGGTTCCTTTTTTATAGTGTTGTCAAGCACAATGAAAGGGATTGAGTTCTTTGGAACGTAGGCACCATTGCACTCATGGTATTTCTCCCTGTTCCAAAGTCTGATTGCCAAGCTCACTCATCTGTGATTCAAGTCATCTTCAGCGTGTTAGGTGGGTAAACATATGAGTAGATAACAGCAAAATAAGAGAGTGAACATGATGTAATACTAATATCTAGTGTTATAATCAAACAGAAGTTAGCATCAAATGGACATGTATTTATAATTGACACAAACATTGTGTTGTTGCCACTTAGTAATACATGGGAAGTGGTACATAACTGTAATCACTATAAAAAATTTATATGATCAAATGACTGAACGTTTTGTGAAGACTCCTAAATCTGCAGAGAGAGACAGTCTCTTCTTTTTGTGCAGGGGCTGGCTATCAAGGTTATCATCAACCGATGGCTCTGCCAATGACATTGGGAACCAGGACAGCATCCCAAGTCACAGAGGATTTAAGAAAATTTTCTTCCTCTCATAGTGGCTGTTGCTAACTTTCATTGAAGAGCAAATATTTAGCCAAGTAAGGACCAGGCTGATTTCATTTCCTTTGGGTATATACCCAGTAGTGGGCTTGCTGGATTATATGGTCATTCTAGGTACAATTTTTTGAGGTACCTCTTTACTGTCAAGGAGATATGTACACCCTTGTGTTTATTGCAACCCTGTTCATGATAATCAAGATATGGAATCAACCTCAGTGACCATCAGTGGACGACTGGATAGAGAAAATGTGGTATATGCACACCATGAAATACTACATGGCCATAAAAAGAAAAAAAAATCTTGTCATTTGCAAGTCTATGAGTGAACCTGGAAGGCCATTAGTTCGAGTGATAGAAGCCAAGCACAGAAGAGAAATACCAGAGGCTCACACTCAAAGTGGAATCTAAAATAGTCTGTCTCATGGAAATAGAGTAGAATGGTGGGAGCAAAGGCTGAAGAGGTGGGGGAGGAGGATGTGGGGAGACTTGGTCAGTGGCTGTGAAGGTATAGTTAGGCAGCAGCCATAAACTCGGCTGTTCTGTTGTGCTGTAGGGTAACCATAGTCAGCCCCAACATTAAGCTACATGAGAGGGTGGATTTTGGATGGCTCCCCACAAAGAAATGGTAAACATTTGAGGTCATGGATATGCTGATTTGCTCATTATGCAAGACATACTTACATTCAAACGTCACATTCTTTCCATAAATGTATGCAATTATTATGTGTTGATTAAAAGCAAAGTAATAAACAAGATTGGGCTGCAAAGAAGGGCTGCTGGTGGGGCATGGACTTGGGAGAGGGCTTTTAGCAGCACAGGCTGCTGATGCTCCTTCTTGACCTGCTCCCCCAGGAGCTGGGGGTAGGTAAAGGGGGGCTCCCACCCCAGCCTCTGTGCTGGCGCTCCATAAGTAGCAGCACGCGCACCCAACCAGAGAAAGCCACTGGCAGCCTGGGGAAGGAGGAATGGCAATCATCCATGTTTCAGGGTGGACTAATCCCCTTCTTTCTGGACCCGATCTAGCTGTGCCAGAGTGCGGGAAATTAGCAGAGGATGTGATGAACACGTGTGGAGGGGCTTGGGGCACCCATGTGGAAAATGAGAGTCTTGCTATCCAGAAGCTGAGGGACTCAGCACTGGGTCAGGAGGGAGGAGAGGGGTCAAAAAGAGGTGGGAAGGGAGTGAAGAACGGAAGGTGGCAGGAAGATGGGAGGAGGGGTGTAGGTGTGACCTGTGGGCTTTGACTCCTGCAGTTGTAAATCCAGTGTGTGTGCTAGCCGTTTAAACTGGGCTGGACCTGCACCTAGGTTCGCTGCTTGGTGAGAATTACTCTGAGAATTTAACTGGCAAAGGAATCCGAGACAAGACAGAGCAATGCTTCAGCTGTCAGAGCCTTCCCTGCAAGAGCTGTGCACTCCAGGCCAGCGAGCTTCCCAGAGTTAGGACATGGGTGTCGTGTCGCCTGCTCACACCGCCTGCCCCTGCAGTGTCCTCCCAACTCCCTTTGCTTCCTGGTGCCTGGAACCCGTGTTTCTTGCCAATAGCTTAGTCCTAATTTCTTGTAGAACGCATGAATCCTTGTTTGGTCACAGAATGCTCTTTTTACGCACCCACATTGATCACTGTATGTCGTCAGAGGCAATGTCTTAGCTTCATGAAGGCTATCAATGATCAAAGAGAATGTTTGGCCTTCTTCGGATTGGTCTAATTTTTGGTCATCCTAGGTCTTAGAGCACAGTCAAAATTCCGTCTTTATGAAGCCATCATCTCCTGACCTCATCCCATTTTATTGACGGTGCAGCATTTCTGCATGGCGTCGCATTTTCTACGTGACCTTTCCAAGTCACTGTAAGGAGGGAGGTGTCCCCCACACAGCTTTGTTTGTATGCCCCACTTCATATTACCCCCTAGCCATTCTCTTTTTTTAAAGAATACGTGTAGGTCATCACTAAGAAAGAGGAGACAGGAAAATGCATATGTTTTATGATCGGCATACACTTTTTTTAATGTAAATTTCAGAAAAAAAAAATCAGCATCCAAATCGATAGTCCGAGACAACAGAAGCTTCAGAAGTTGATGCGGGGAGGAAGATTCGGAGGAGCCCTCCCTGTCAAGACCCCTCACTACCATAGTCCGTGCTTCACTTATGGCCGCTGCGGGGAATTTCAGCGGGGTTCTGGCGGGGAGCGTTACAAGTCAACGCTGCTGTCCCCTCACAAGGCGTGGCATTACGGCTCCTCCCGAACGGGCTGACACCCGACAGCCATCTGAGGGACACAGAGCCCACCTGACAGAGAAGCGGGGCAGTCCTGGGACCACCCCGTCAGTAGGCTCTGCGGCACTCATACGACCCCCAGGCCATGCTGCCGTCGTCTTTGCTCCAAGCTGAAGGGTCGTGAAGAGGAGAGGGGTCGGCCCCCTCGTCGGGGGCAAGTGGCGCCACCTTGGGCGGTAGATCGTTTGCCATGGTCATGAAAGGAGCAAAGGGGTAGGGAGGCGGGGTGGGGTACCCGGCTGTGTGATGCAGCTCCTCCAGCGCGTGCAGCGAGTAGGACTGGGGCCCCGCCAGCGAGGGCGCCCAGCTGGAGCTCCTGTGCTGGGTGGCGCCTCCTGGCTCCATCTGGGACAGGCAGCTGGCGCTGGGTGGCAAGGCCTGCAGGGCGTCGGCGGGCAGGGGCTCTGGCTGGCTGAGACCCTCAGGCACCGTCTGCTCCCACGAGTCCCTCTGCAGCGGATGGAGAGGCCAAGGGGGGCTTCGTTAGGCAATGCTCTGAGGGGCTTCCAGAGCAGCTGGGTGCCCTCCCTCGGCTGACCCAAGCCCCAGTTCCCAGGCGGTTTGACCCTCGGGTGTGACATCAGCAGGGTAACTTTTAGTTCCTTTCTACTCCACTGTGTGTGTGTTGAGATTCTCCTTCTCGGAAATGAGTGAAATGTGAGAACAGTAAAATGAGCATCTCTACGCCATTTTACTGCTCATAATAAGGCACTCTCTTGCCTTCTCTCCGAGCTGTCATTTACCCAGGAATAACATTTGGAATGCACAGGGGCAGGGTCAGTGCCCGGCTCACTTCCGGAAGGGGTAGGCCTCGCACTACGGGATGAGCTTTTGAATGGGCCAAGGAGGTGGCTCTGCCCGCGGCGAGCACGGAGGCAGCTTGGAGCTGGCAAGATTTGGGTTCCTTTGAGGCCATGCCACTTCCCAACCGGGCACCTTACTCTGTTCATCTGTAACATGGTGCTTTCATAAATGTATCCTGACGTTGCAAGTATCCGATGAACCAAAGCACATAAAAACTCCGGGCACAGACTACCCAGTCACCTTAATTCCCACCCCCAACCCCTTTGGCACTAAGTTCCACCTTTGTGGTGGTCTGTACCTGCCTTGGGGGATGACTGCCTAGCCGTGGCCAGATGCACGTTGAGTGCTCTTTCCTGTGGGCTAGAGGGGTCGTGCCCACCCGCACTAACCGGCTGGGGGAACATCAGTGGAGCATTAACAAAACGGACCTAGATCCTGGCGTGGGCCTCCCTTGCTGCTTTGGTTAAACTCATCCTTGAGCGAGGCTCCCGTGGAGCTGCGAAGTGGCTCACCTGGGCTGCCCGAGCCAGCAGGGGCGGGGCCCGGACCCTCAAGCCCGCCCTCCCGTGCGCCCCCCGGCGCGGCCGCGTGCAACTCACTAGCACGAAGTGAGCGGGGTCTCCCGGGAAGGGCGGCGGCAGCAGCGGCGGCAGCGGCGAGGCGCCGAGCAGCGAGCCCGCGCCGGGGCCCAGCGCCGGGGAGCGGTAGTCCGCGTAGGGCTCGGGGAAGCAGGGCTCGAGCGGGGCCTCGCAGGGGAAGGGCTTCGCCACGCTCGGGGTGTAGCCGTCGTTTGGAAACGGTTTGCTGCTGTGGAAGTCGGAGTCCGACAGGAAGGACCTCCTGACGCCGTAGTAGCCCGACATGGCCGGCGAGCCTGGGGGCAGAAGGAAAGCCCATGGGCCCCAGAGCCCTTCTCCCTGCAAGGTCAAGGCCTCGCTGGCGCAGCAGCCGGGCCTCTGCCCTGGGTGAGCCTGACCCCGCCGCTACCGTGGAGACTGACACGTGCCTTGCAAAGCTCCAGCAGTCCTTGTGTTTTCGCATTTCCGGCCCAAATAAGCCATGTGTTGGAGGTCATCCTACCTAACAGGACGAGTTAGGTGACTGTCGTACCATCATTTTCCCGGCTGCTGAGCTGTCCCCACAGACAGGACCCCATGGCCACAAGGCTGCTCCTGGGCCTGCTACCTGAGACACGGGATCTCCAGGTAAGGGGGTACACGCGACCCTCGAATCCCAGGCAGGCAGTGCTCTGCCGCCTCGTTGCACACTGACGCTTTTTTCACGCTGTCTTGCATCCGGCAGACGTCCATAAAGGGCTTGGTTTGGGATGAGAAAAGCTACACAGAAAGCCAATTGCAGACAGCAAAAAGGCTTCTGGCTTTGCCTCGTCTCGTGTTATCTGCTGCCCTCTTGTGGCCATCCCTGGTCCCTCACTCGGCTCCCCAGGGCGTTGCAACTTAAGCAGTGCATGGTGGTGCACCGGGTTTCCCTCCGGGGAGACTGGGGAAAAGCTGAAAGTGACAAGAGTGTTATTTAAGGCGAAGCTGGTGAAATGATGGAAGAAGGGCATCATCGCCGAATTAGCAGCCGCAGGAAATACATTGTCATTTAGAGACACACACACACACACACACACACACACACACAGAGCGAGCGAGCGCCTATGCAGGGCATGGGTACAAGACCTGTATGATTGATTGATGCCTTAGCTATGCCTGCTGGTGGTGGATGTGGACCAATGAGGTCACAAAAGAGCCGAGCCAGGGACAAGATGCAAGGGCTTGTCTTCCATCCCTTCCCTTCTCCTCGGTGGGCCCCTTCTGAGCTTTGCCCTGCCCCCTCTTCCACTGGGCGAGAAAACAGACTCATCAGACTCTGCTGCCATGATTCATCCACACCTCTGAGTGCACAGAACTTGGCCAGCCCACACGATGTGGCACTTAATATCATGTCCATTATGCTTTGACTGTTACAACTCTGGAAGGCCTGAGGCAGCAGAGCTCATGTCTTGCATATTTTTTATGAAGATCCAAGAGTATAATATTGTCTAACAATTCCATGGAAAACTCAAGAAGAAATTGCAATCTCCTATGGAAACTTTTAGCTTAATCCAACCCACTCCATTTTCCACCTTAAATTCTATAACCTAAAATTTCCAATCTGTCCCAGTTTTTGGAAGCTGCAGTTAGGATTTTCCTTATGAGCACACTTCCCTGGGGAAAACAGTTAATGTCAATAAGTTAGGATCTGTTTCACGTCATGAATTTATATTCATGGGCATGGGGAGGTTGAGAGCAGAGTGAAGAATATGTCGGCAAGGCTTGCAGGCTGTCGTGTCTTCATTTCCAGTTTCCAAAGAAAATCAACTATGCAGAGAACGCCACAGCCTCTGCTCTCCTAAGTGTGCAAATTTCTCCTTTAAAAAAGGAAGACTAAGTCTAGCTGGAAAAAGAAAAGCCAGAGAAATCTCCTTCTGTAGAAGAGCATCAGGACAGTGACTTGAATTATGACTGGGAAGCACAGGCCAGGAGCATGCATATATTTGGGCTCCTCTGTTGCTCTTATCCCTTCCCCTTATCTGGCTCTGAAGGCACTGATGCTATGGAGAAGGCCCTCGGCACTCCTGAGTTTGAGATCCAGTAGGGCTTGTTGTGTGTGTGTATGAGGGTACTCAACACTATTATTAAGAATGCCGGGTTCTAGTCCTGGTCGGGGTGCCAGATTCTGTCCCGACTGCCCCTCTTACAGTCCAGCTCTCTGCTGTGGCCTGGGAGTGCAGTGGACGATGGCCCAAGTGTTTGGGCCCTGTACCCCATGGGAGACCAGGAGAAGCACCTGGCTCCTGGCTTCGCATCAGCGCGCTGCACAGGCCGTAGCGGCCATTGAAGGGTGAACCAATGGTAAAGGAAGACCTTCCTCTCTGTTTCTCTCTCTCTCTCACTGTCTACTCTGTCAAAAAAAAAAAAAAAACCAACAAGCGTCACATATCTTGCACGCATAGGATGCCTTCCAGTCCCTGGGGGTGGGGCATTTAATGAGGTACACATATTAAAATGGATACAAAATGCTGACCTCAGTGTCTGAGATACAGAGAGCACCAAACAAATGGTAGTTCTCTCACCTGCCCTCAGGGCTCCTTTTCTGTCCTGAAGTAGGTGTGTCCTCTCTCAGATCATGGTGTCAGCACATTAGACAATTAAAAACTAAGTTGCTTTTGTCCCAAATACTTGTGCTAGCAAGGGATCAAAAGGCTCCCCTTAGGGTGGGCATTTGGTACAGTGGCTACATCGCCTCTTGGGACACCTGCATCCCATGTCTGAGTGCCTGGGCTTGACTCCAGCTCCATGCCCAATTCCTGCTCCTTGCTGATGCCACCTGGGTGGCAGCAGGTGATGGTTCAGGTACTTGGGTCTCTGCCATCCATGTGGGGGACCAGAATTAAGTTCCTAGCTCCTGGCTAAGACCTGGACCAGCCCCATCTGTTGCAGGCATTTGGGGAGTGAACCAGCCGAAGGGATTCCATCAGGAGTTCTACATTCAGGAATGAGTGGGTGGGTCTTTTTCAATGATGTTGTGTTTTAAAAGTAGCTATTTTGAAGAAGCAGCATTTTGGGAGTGCTGTAAGGGAGTCATAAAAGAGTGGAAACCCAAACACTCATTTTAAGCTCAGAAGGGAATTCGCTGCTCGTTGACTGAAGGACTCACCTGGCATCTGGGCAAATGCAGACTGAGAGGAGCTGACGGCGCCCTGGAAGGCAAACAGAAAGCAAGTGTTTCCTTCTTTAGTTGCAAGTTGGAACTTGAAATCAGGACTACATTTTATAAGCTTTATTTTCTGATATTCTGACCTATTAGTTGGGGAGTTGGGTTGTGGGGGTCAGTTTAGAGTAAGAACTCAAGTACATGGAATGAAGTTTTACAGGGGACAGAGAGAAACCAGACTTGCAGGCTCTGGCCCACCTGCCGAAAAGCACTGGCTAGAGGCAGACCCGTTGTGTTCTCCAGTGTGTGTCAAGATTCCATCATCAGATAGATGCATGAGCATTTCAAAAAGTTTGTGGAAATGAGTACGCTGAAAAACCATGTGTACATTTCAAATTTGTTTTGCACCAAAAGAAACTTATTTTTAAATTCTGTTCTCCACAAACTTCTTAAAGTATGTGTGTGTGTGTGGGTGTGTGTGTGGGTGTTGACATCTGACTTCTACATTGAAGATCCAGGTTTTAGTGTTTGTTTACCCACAAAACAGAAGCTCCACCAAGTATGGGGAACTTAACTGACTTGTCCTCTGGGCCCCAAGCAGAATGTGGGTCATACTAGACACCATACAGATATGTGGACTGAAGACCCACAGTCTGGTGAGTGTGAGAGGGTGGGGGGTGTTGGAGGTTGAGTTATTCATCACCAAAAAAAAAAAAAATGTATCAAGGTCTTGACCCTATTACAGTGAATGTTATCTTATTTGGAAATAGAATATTTGCGAACATTATTACCTACATCGAGATGAGGTCATGTTGAATTAGGATGGGCCCCAAATCTCCTATAACTGCTGTCCTTGTAAGAGGAGGAGACAGACCCTTAAAGACACTGAGGAGAGAAGGCCAGGCAAAAACACAGGCAGAAATCTGGGCAGTATAACCTCAAGACAAGGAACACCAAGGATCGCTGGCACCGGCCAGAAGCAAGGCCAAGGTGAGGCGGGCTTCCCACCTGGAGCCTCCAGGGAGGGCACGGCCCTGTTGACAGCCACATTGCAGACTTCTGACCTCCAGAACTGTGCGGGCAGTCCACTTCTGCTGCCTTAGGCTGCCTTGTCCATGGGAATTGGTTAGTGCAGCGCCAGGAAACCAGCACGGGGGAAGATTGGTGATGGAAAAGATGGTTCACGAGAGTGTGGAAGAGGCCTGGCTGGGGCGCCTGTGCTGGCATTAGGGATGGGGGAGCACATGCTGGAGGAGGTGCTGTCTACGCTGACCTTGGAAGGAAGGGTATCCAGGTGTGCAGAGGCGTAAAATACACACATGCAAATCCTGGCTCCAAGATATCCTGGAGCGAGTAAGTGGAGAATCGCTCTTACAGGCGTTGAGAACACTCAGCACCTGGTTCTTTGAATTTCAAGTTTTTTTTTAAAGGTTTTATTTATTTATTTGATAGGCAGAGTTACAAACAGTGAGAGGGAGAGAGGGAGAGATAGAGGTCTTCCATCTACTGGTTCACTCCCCAAATGGCCATGATGGCCAGAGCTGGGCCAATCCGAAGCCAGGAGCCAGGAACCAGGAGCCAAGAGCTTCTTCTAGGTCTCCAATGCGGGTGCAGGGGCCTACCCAAGGACTTGGGCCATCTTCTACTGCTTTCCCAGGCCATAGCAGAGAGCTGGATTGGAAGTGGAGCAGCTGGGACTCGAACTGGCACCCAGTACTGGATGCCGGGACTGCAGGTGGAGGATTAACTTCGCCACAGCACAGGCTCTTGAATTTGAAGTTGTAGCATGGATTCTCACAGTCCAGCAGACTCTCAAGAGTGGGAAAGGATTTTATAGGCAATGTCATTCAGCCACCTACTCAGTGGTTAGGGTCTCACCATGTATTACCAGGTGCATCTAATCTCTAGTGACAGCTGAATACCCTTGGCGGAAGCCCATTTTTCCTTTGGGGATCCCTGACTGTTACAAAATGGGCTGAAAAGAGTCACTTTCCTGGTGTTAATCTCTTTAGTTCATGTAGAATAAGTTGATTCCTTCTTCCCTGGCAGACCTTCGAATGTTTGAAGACAGGCAATCATTGCCCAACTGACATAGTCACTTTGGGCTGCTGTAACACATTCCATGGACTGGGTGGCTTAAACAGCAAATGCTGGTTTCCAACAGTTCAGGATGTTGGGTTCTTGGTGAGGGCCCTCTTTTCTGATTGGTGGAAGGTTGGTTTCTTGCTGTGTCTTCATGGGGAAGGATCATTTCTCTCCGGTTTCTTGTGGAGATTCATGAGGGTTCTGTTCTCATAGTCTAATCATCCCCAATGGCCTACCTCCATATACCATTACATTGCAGCTTAGGACTTTGGCATATGAATTTTGAGGGACACAAATGTTTGGATCATAGGACTAACATTGAATTCCAAGCAAAATATCTTCTTTAGGCAAAATATCCTCCATCCACTCAGAAACAGCATAGTATTTAAGTGTGAAGACTCAGGAACCAGGATGTTTGTGTTTGAATCACAGCTCTGCCTCTTATTGGCTGTGAAATTGTGGGCATGTGCACATTATATGAGCTTATATATGTGAAGCATTAAGAATAGCACCTGGCATAGAGTAAGTAGTGTATTCTCTTTTGCTGTTGTTATGAAGATACGTTTTTAGATCCCTTCACATCTATGGTATATTCCTCTAAACATGCTCTGATTTATATATTTTCCTGTTAATAAGTTAACTCTGTTAGATGGTAGAAGGGAACTCTGGGCATGCAGTAGCTAGAAGTAGGTACAGATCAGGCTGTACTGAGGTTAGATTAGTAGGGAAGGAAAGAAGGCATGATTAACATGGATGCATTTGTGTTTGGGTGTATTTCCCATGTCACCTTGTCCATGCTATCCTGAATTATCCTCTAATTTCCAGCTCTGTCTGGGTCTTTCCTTGAATGTCTGTGCTGACACCTGTACCTTCTGGCTTCTGCCTCAGCCTCCTTGCCAGGGTAAGTCGGAGGTGGCGTGGTGGTGGCTGTCCTGGGTGCTGCAGGGGAGAAGCCCTCTCTCTCTCCTCCCACCTTCTCTGGCTGCCTCCTCTTAAACTTCATCCTGGAAACAGGATAAAGGCTTCTGTGAAACGCAGAGCACACGCCCAGTTTGGTGACCAGCACTTCAGTATCCCCTTGGGATCAGTCAGCCAGTTATCTGTCTGTCAGTCCAGTCTATATTTCTGTGGCTGACACAGCTCCTTTGCCTTTCATCTTTCTTTTTTTTTTTAAAGATTTATTTTTATTTATTTACAGAAAAGTCAGAGTTACACAGAGAGAGGAGAGAGGAGAGAGAGAGAAAGAGAGAGAGAGAGGCAGAGAGAGAGAGGTCTTCCATTCACTGGTTCACTCTCCAGATGGCTGCAATGGCCGGAGCTGTGCCATTCTGGAGCCAGGAGCCTGGAGCTTCTTCCAGATCTCCCAGATGGGTGTAGGGACCCAAGGACTTGAGCCATCTTCTACTGCTTTCCCAGGCCATAACAGAGAGCTGGATCTGAAGTGGAGCAGCTGGAACTTGAACTGGTGCCCATATGGGATGCTGGCACAGCAGGCGGCAGCTTTACCCACTGCGCTACAGTGCCAGCCTCTGCCTTTCAACTTTCAAAAGCTTTCTATCTTTCTCTCCCTCTATCAACAACCTCTAGCATCTTGTTAATAACTCCTCCTTCTTCCCAGGTTGAATTATTACTGAGGGACTGCTAACTCAATTTTAATATCAGAAGACTCTACAAACACTTCACAACTACAAGCCAGTTGATTTTACTTATTATTTGATGGAAAGTAGCATTTTGCTCCCTTCTCTTATATAATTTGACCCTTTGCCTGCTGTGGTAACGATGTGCTCTATTTCCATTCTTTATGACTATCCATCAGTTTTCACCATGTATATTTAACAAACTCTACAAACAATATGTTAGAGTGACATACAAAAGCTTAGGACAGTAACTCATACCCTTCCTGTCCTAATTTACATGAATATGCTATTTCCTTATATTTCAATTTGTTTCTTTTTGTTAAACCTCCAAAAATTAGACATCATAATTGTCATTTTGTTGGGTAAATCTGTATTTGATTTACTTATTTTTTTTTTGCTTCCTTTTCTTCCAGACTTTCTTTCTGATTAATACCCTCCTCTAAACTAATTCTACAGGAGAATCCCTAATGTGTAGGTGGCAGTGGTGATAAAAATACTTCAGTTTTTATTTATCAGGAAATATAATTTCTTTTGATCTTGTACTTGAAAGGTAATATTTCTAGGCTCACAATAGTAATTTTCTGGTTACTCATTTCTCAGAACTTTATCAACACTATTCCACTGTCATTTGGCTCCCATGATTGCTGTTGAGAAGTCTGCTATAAATCTTATAGTTATTCTTCATGACAGTATTTCTTTCTGTTCTGTTGTCTTTAATATGCTTTCTTTGTCTTTAAGGTTATCCAAGTTCATCTCATTTTATCTAGAAGTAAATTTCTTTTTTATTTGTCCTGCTTAATATAGGATATGCTTTGTGTGTCTGGGGACTCATCTTTTTCATAAATTCTGGAAAATGTCAACCATGTTCTCTTCAAATATTTTCTTTTCTTTATTACCCCCATTCTCTCCTTCAAAGACTTGCTTAAATATATGTTAGAACTTTTACTTTTATCCTTGACATCTTTAACATTTTGTTTTTGTATCTGTGATTCTCTGTTCTATATTTTGGTATAGATTAGTACAGATTTCTTTATATGAAGTTCTTTGTTATAGGTAGTTTACTGCTTAATGTGTGAATACGCATTGAATTGTATTTACCAATGATTTTATATTTTTCATTTTTATAGATTCCATTTGCTTTCTTTGTTATCTGCTTGGTAATTTTTGAAGGTCTTTTGTTGAGTGTTCATTACTTATTAGGTTATTGTATATTTTGTATTTCGTAATTTGTAATTCTAATATCTGAAAATTCTGGAAATTTAAATTTATCATTTTTTGTTTGTCCTTATATTTCTTGGGAACCAGCTCCAATTCAGGTTCCCTA